ACCCTAACCCTAACCCTAACCCTAACCCTAACCCTAACCCTAACCTTAACCCCCTACGCGAATTCCTCTTCGTCCTCCCACTCCTCCCCTACGTCGCCATCCTCGACAGCCATCCTAAACCACCTCTCCTCCTCTTCATACTCCCTCTCAATTCTTAATTTAACATGTGAATTAACATTCTACATGTGAAAACGCCAACAAAACTGATATTTTTTATCTCATTGCTTTGTCTTGCTTCTTTTCTCACTTTTCATATATGCTACATGCTACATACACCCCTCCTACCTACCTCACAGCTACGCATCCCATGCTTTCTTACCCCAATACTTGAAATTCTCCCACATCGTAGCATTTGTACCGTCAAATTCTTCTTCTTCTTCTTCTTCTTCATTTGCACGGCGGCGAATAACACGAACCGGTTTTCCATCCAGATCTTTGTTATCCACTAGATTACGTTGAGTGCCTAACCAGTAATTCGGTATGAAGAACGTTATAATCAATGGAACAACCGCCAGGCAAGCTGCCATCGTGAACAAGATACCATTTGTCCTTTGGAATGCACGAATAACACCTTGTCTTACTTCTGAATCGAATGCTAATGCGTGTGCTTTCTTGATACTACCAAACAATTCTTTTCTTCTCGCTGCTGTTTGATTAGGTAATTCTTCTGCCAAATAGACCGGCATCTTCTGCTGCCACACCGTCGCCGCCACAGCCGCCCCGCAACTTGACCCAAAACTCGACCAGAACGAAACCGTGAAAATCGCCGTTGTCAAGTCTCTGTGTGCAACAGCAGCTTGAGATGCAATTCTAGCTCCTCCGACAGTTAAGCCGCCGAATCCCAAAAGGATAACTGAAGCGATCAATTTGGAATCCTGCGTCGTTCCAAGTGGTCCTGCATCAAGAAGGACTGCATAACCGATCACCTTTGCAACGCCTCCAAAGACCATTTGTGCTTTGAATCTATGCGTATATCTTTGCAGCAGACCGTTAATCAAACCCCAAACACATAAACCGACGGTCACTGTACCGGTAAAGTAGACCCATTGCAGATTTGTCCAATCTTTAATAACGTAAACGTATGAACTGAAATAAAGTGCTTCAATGAAACTTGCAAACATTGTGAGAATATCGACCAAGATTGCAATTTGGAATGCTCTATTGAGTAGAATACGTCTTGGTGACAAAGGGATAGGTGCTCCATATATTTCCCAAAATACAAAAGCGATCAACAAAACGAACCCTATAACTATCATTGCAATCATGCTCGGATTTGACCATCCTCCTTTGGAATTGTTGGCCAATGAGAATGGTAAAAGGAGTAATGCGAAACCAAATCCAACCAAAAGCAAACCAATAGCATCAATCTCTACAGCAGCATTCTTGAGAACTTCGTTCAATGATTTGCCTTTGATGACGTCTGTCTTGCCTTTTCTCTCTAAGCCTGATCCAGCCATGCTCACCATCCCGAGCTTCTTGGCTTTGTGTTGCATGTGGAACAATAATACGATTGCCGGTGTGAGACAGACTGGCATAAGAATGCAGAACATGCCGGCGCCCCAGCGCCATTTTAGGGGCACGAGCGAGTCTACAATCGGTCCTGAGATATACGTTGTAACAATGAAAGGCGAGGCCAACATTGAGGTAAAAAATTGACGCCACTGCAAAGGGGTCAAATCGGCAACGAGCAAGTCGGCCAAGAGATCCAGGGCTGACTTACTGAAGGCGGTGAAACAGATACCGACGACATAAGCAGCAAAAGTTTGTGAACTTGCAGCAACGGCGAAACCGATTACGTAAATAACCAATGCCACAGAATACATTGTTGGTCGTGAAGTCAAATCTGATAGCTTACCAACGAATGGTTTGGAAACTGCGGTGATGATTTTGGATGCAACAGAGATGGAAGCGACCTCTGAATGCTTACTGAAAGCAGATGCAGCAATCACACTGAAAACGTCGCTTGTCAAACCTTGATCGAGTGCATATGCAAACATGGTCAAAAAGATGCTAATAGCAAGTAGAACTAGCAACACTCTGCCTGAACTATCTTTACGCAAGAGTCTTGTGAATGCTTCGGCTTGAGCGACACCTTTAGCTCCTCTTTCCACTTCGATGGGTTCGATAGAGGGATTAGATTGGTGATGATTAGGTTTGTCGTCATTGCTGTAGCTGCTTTCGCTTCCGCTGCCGACGTGTTTTTCTTCGTCGTTAGCAACACTTGGCATTGCGGCCGTTTGTTGTTCGCGTGTTGATGTTTCGTTGAGGGTATGGATGAAATCTTGTCCCGTCATGATGAAAAGGGGGGGAAGATGATGGAACTTGGGTTAAAATATGTAGGGTTATCCTACCTTCTTTTTATAGGAGTTGTTGTGCAGATAATCTTATCATTTGGTGCTTGGCAATAAATTGTTCTCGTCTGATAATCATGCAATGCAATGCAATCAAAAACTATTGAAGCTTCGTTCCTAATTGTGCCTTACGTCGTTGATGGTGAGATGATCAGATGAAAATAGTACGTTGATGAAAAATACAATAAGAACCAATAGAATATTCCGGATAGGAATCTGATAGGTTAATCGCCGAAGCAATTAAACACGCTAAAATCAAAAGAGGAGACAGTTTGCAGATCTAAAAGAACAGGTAATACAGCTAAAGTCGCCGATTAAGTTGTTATCAGATCAATTACTGATCACGCTAAAAATACCTACTAAATCATCGTATATTCTCGGCCGATAACGAGGTGTATCAAGCCTATTTTACCTTTTCTACCAATGGAGAACATATACAAGTGGCTACCAAATTTCTCTACGAAGAATTCCGATTTCGTGAATCAAATTCATATTGGTATAAAAAAAATGGTATTGAACTGCTTAAGATCGATTAAACGGTTCGTCCTTTTGAGTAAATTATACCGGCTGGATTCTTCATACTTTTTATTTGGTTATTCGACCTTCAACGGATTTTGGTGCTGGAAAACGAAAACAAAAAATACATTTGTTATATCATCATCGCTAGATCATTAAAACAATACCAAGGAAAACCTACTATTCGTCAATTTCAACTTTAAGAGGCTTAAGAAGGATAATATGCCCGAAGAGACTTGAACGTATTGATCTTGTTATATAAGCTTCCCTTTAACAGGGCTTTAGAATCAGCCTTGCTATCTCAATAGTTGTTCTTGACCCTCTTACAGTCGCTTGTAGACTGGCTGATCATCGAAACGAAGTAGACTTGGTGCTTCTATACCATCTATTTCTGGCTTTCGCCCGCTAGTCTTAAGTAGGATTATAATAGGAAAAGCTAGTCCCTAGTAGGACTAGAATACGAAAAGCTAGTCTCCAGTAGGATTAGATTTGTAAAGCTACTCCAGTGAGACTCTATTTCATCATTTTTAGCTTTTGCCCTGTTGAATATAGAAGGGCGGAATTTGCGGAAGCGGCTTAGCGCAGCGCCACAACTATGTGATCCCGTTCTGCGGGAATATTCTACTGTACCAAGAGTATAATTATGTTTGCTGTCAAAGCAAATATACGAAAGTTCGCTGTTAAGTAGAACACTATATATAAATCTATGCTTAATACTATTAATAATCTCTTTGTCGGCATCCTCTAGGCACAACGCGTATCGTATGACATGCCGAGTATGCATGAACCACATGTTCAATTGTATGAATAAAATATAGCATTCTATACAGTAGAATTTGATAAGTAGACTTGGAAAAACAGCTCCGCATACGTGCAGCCTTATCAACCGCCGGAAGTGCCTCCGCGCTCTTTTTACCGTCGGCATTGCGTTCCTGAATTCATGTTGACTATAATTAAACCACAATCAAGCGTCGTGGCTTGTGAATCGTTTAGCCGAGTCTTAGCTGATGTGCCAGCACAAAGATAAAGCTCATGTGGGGTAAGCCATGAATCTGCACTTCTGCACATCAAGTTGTTTGCTATTATTAATTTCCAATTCTTCTTATCTTTCCAATAATTTGTATAAAAGGTACTTGCTCGTACAATCGTCCTATCTACCCCACCTTACAACGAGCCTATCATGGACCAAAATATGCCTATCGAAAAGGAAAAAGCTGAATGGAATGCTTCTGTGACTGAAGTTACTTCACAAATCAAACCTCAAGCACGAAAACCACATGATCCAAACGTGACATTGGAAGAGTATGTCCATTATGCGAAACAAACACGAGAGTTGGAAAAATCTTATGAACCACCGAAATTGGTTTGGAGGGAGCTCTTGAAAGGCAAAAAAGTGGTTGTGAATGACGATGGTGCTGGAAAGCAAGTCTCAAATCTTGATTTCTCAACCCAAGAAGCCCGCATGAACATTACTGATGAAGAATGGATCAATGCCAGTCGTGCATTAAGGACTGCTTCTGTCGGAGCATGCTTTTATCTTATCACAACCGATATTCTAGGTCCTTTCGGTGTAGCGTTTGCTTTGGGAACTCTAGGTTGGGGTCCGGGGATCGCTTTGTTTACCGTCTTCGGGGTTCTGGCAGGATATAGTGGCTATCTGCTTTGGAAAGTCTTCTTAGGTGTCGATTCATATCAGTTTCCTTGTATGAATTATGGCGATGTCGCTTTTCGAACTTGGGGAAGGATTACACGTCATATTACCAACTTCTTGCAAGGCATTGCCCTACTACTTCTTCTCGGACAGGTAACAATTCAATATGGTGAGAATATCTCTGCCATGTCAAAGTTCAATCTTTGTTACATTATTTGCCCGCTGTTGTTTGTTATCGCTGGCTTCTTTTTAACTCAAATTCGTACTTTAAAACAATTGGGTATCGTGGCAAACTTATCAATTTGGCTCAACATTCTCGTCATTCTACTGACCATGGGATATGTAGCACATTCTCCGCCGAATTTCGCAATTTCAGTCTTGGGTTCAGCAGGAAGCGCAGTCGATCCGACTACAATTACACCCGATAAAGCTGGGAATTATCCTCCTGTTATGCACTACAGCAAACTCCCTGTTGACGGTCTAGTCGGTTCTATTAACGGTCTTTTGTCAGGAGTATTGGCTTATGCGGGAGCTCAATTATTTATCGAATTTATGGCGGAAATGAAGAGGCCAAATGATTTCATCAAAGCAATGTGGGGAGGTCAATTATTCATCTATACCGTGTATATGGTGTATGGCTGCTTCGTCTATTATTATCAAGGTCAATACTCTTTCAATCCTTCATATCTTGGCGTCAGTAAGTTTAGTTGGCAAACTTCGGCCAATGCTATCTCGCTAGTCTCTGCTTTGATCGCTGCAGCTCTTTATGGAAACATTGGTATCAAAGTAGTATACAATAACATCTTTGTGGATATCTTTCACTCTCCTCCACTCGTTACCAGAAATGGCAAGATTATCTATGCAGCATTGGTACCTATTTGGTGGAGTATTGCTTTTGTTATCGCTGCTGCCATTCCGGATTATTTCGGCTTCGTAAGCGTAATGTCTGCTTCTTGTTTACTCAATTTGACGTACACATTACCTCCATTTTTCGCTCTCGGCTATGATATTCAACGGCATGCAATTCGTCAAGAAGAAGGTGAAGGATTTGATCCAATCACAGGTCAAGCCATCAGAAATGACTCCGGTTTCAAGAGATACGTTCGTGGCTTTATGTCAGGTGGTCCTTTACAAGTCGCTCAAAACGTTTGGAACTTACTTTATTTCCTTGCTAGTTTGTCAATGTGTGGATTAGGAATGTACGCTGCTGTTGACGGTATGATTGAAGCTTTCAAAATTCCTCAACTTACGTCTTTCTCTTGCAGATCGCCTCTCGATCTGAATGCTTGATACTACTGTATACTTCTTTCATTCTTTATTTCTTTTGTCACATTTTAGGCTTCACTTTTTCCCCTCAATCATACTTGTTTTCTTATAATTGCCTTTGAGGCCTAGCGCAGTTGATCAGCACCAGACGTGAAACTCCGAAACTCCGAAACTCCGGATGGACATATGTGTAGACATAGCAGCGCAAAAGTTTAATTTTAGGGTGCGACACTGAAATACATAGCTTTGTTTTATAGAGAAACTTCTGGCTTATCCTATATAAAACGTTGTTCGATAAGTGTATCATGACCAATTGCAATCAACTTCCTTCATCTTTTTCAACAGCAAATTCCTCTTCTCTACGATGACAAAAAAGGTCTTACAATTTGTATGTATACCAGTTCAATCACCTGTGGGAGTGATATGCTAACGTTTCTTACCCTTAGCTCGCCGATGGTAATGAAGAAGTTGGTACTTTAATTTCTGCGAATGTTTTATCACGAGGAGGTTATGAAGTTACAGTGGCAGCAGTTGGCCTCAACGACTCTCGTTGGGCAGTGGGCTCAAAAGGGCAAAAAACTGTCCCCACCACCACAATTGAAATGTTGGCAGAAACAGCTCATTCATTTGATATCATTCTCGTTCCTGGTGGAGTGGTTGCCTCTAGATACCTAGCCTCACGACAAGATGTTTTGGAAATCGTAAGAAGACATTATGATGCTGGAAAGCTATCCACATTTCTCTGTGCTGGACCATACGTAGCAAAAGCGGCAGGAATTCACATTGGCAAAAAGTTAACTTCTAATCCATTTGTCGAAGCGGACTTTGTTAAAGACTACAACTACCAGCAAGATCGTGTCGTGGTTGATGGTAATATGGTCACTAGGTGAGAATCGCAGAGCATATATAGATTATCTTCTAGCTTACAAGCCCTTCCGTTCGTTTACCTCTACAGCCGTGGGCCTGGTACCGCATTTGAGTTTAGCTTTGCTATTCTTGAGCTCGATTATGGTAAGGGTTCTGAAAAGATTGAAAAGATGAAGCCTGGCATGGTACTTCCTCCCTCTATCTAAGCTAAAAATGTCAAATAAACTCTTTTAGCAACTATACTCTTTATGTTCATTCGCATACCTTTTCTAAATACTATAAATCTATACACTATAATCTCATTGTAACGATAGGTTGACAGATCTGACGAAAGCGGATACAGGATTTGTATACCGCTTACTTTACAGAGCTACTTCTCTCGAAGTAGCCTTGCGATAGTTGTCTTAGAGATAGGTAAGTAGGATCTGTATGAATTCCAAAAGCATGTTGATTTGATCAATTGTCATACCTAACCTACACTCCCAATTAACCAAGCAGTAAAGTTAGTCATCAGTGCTACGATGAACACTTTATGCATACCTGTGTACTTCAAATTGTTTCCTCTATTCTTCCCTGAAGCAAGTCCTGGTCCACCACATGCGATTCCAACAGATCCACCTTCAAGTTTATTGTAAGCGTCTAAAACTTGTAATCTCCTCTCTTCTGTGTCCATGCAACAATTCCATGCGTTTCCATATTTGATTAATGGTGCTCCACAAGCTAATGAAAGGTTGCCAGGTAAGCCAGATTGACAGTAAAAGGATGTGTTGCAGTAATCGTCCATTTCTGATTGATTGAGGTAAGATTAAATAAGGGGATGAGATAGGCGAGTCAAACTCAATATCTACTTTATATATAATCATTTCCGACCGACTAAAGTCTTATGTGTACCACGAGATCGGTTGTCCGTTCTATCCTTTAATGCGTCTAAAAAGGCTTGGCATATATTTAGCGTCCATAATATTCAATTCTACTTTGTTTCGGATTCGTTGGGCGTAAACGCTAGTAGAGAACAATCGAAACGATGCATCATCTAAAAGCCACTATTTACGCTAATGTCATGCAGATTTCATAAAGGGATATAAAAGAGTAATATACTGTGCTATAAAGAAGAGTCTGGCCTTCGACAGGATAGAAAAAGAGCGAGGTGCAGATGAAAAAGGCAGAATCAGTATATCCAACTGCACAGGAAAGGAAGATAAAACACCACGAGGCCGACAAAGAGTTGTACAGGTGCCTCTATTGGAAAGCTCACTTTACCGATAGAGTTTGTTGCTACACTTTTGTTCTCGTATAAATCCGACTTTTCGTCAGCCACTTCCATTACGCCATGAACAAAATCAAAGTAAGAACAAGGAAAATTGGCATTTTGGAAATCGAGCTTGAACACATTCTTTGCTGACGGTTTTCGGTAAGGATTATAGCCAAAATTATGAGAAAGTGCAGAAGGTTTGACGTATGTTGAAGGAATTAAAGATTCATTTGCACGAAGTACTTTTTCAGCAGCTTCTAAATCTCTATATACGTGAAATAAGGCTCTGTCTAAGATTGCCAAAAAGAGAGCTGAAGAATTTGCATGCATAAAACGATGTTCTGTTCCGGCAGAAGAGACAAGAACAATTCGATTTGCTTTGATATTTTTTAGAGACTGAACTGCTTTGATCATATTCTTTGCTGTATTTTCCACTAGATGATTATTTGGTATGTTTCCTTTTGGCGCAATCGCAAGAACAATGACGTTTGCTTCTTTGATACAATTTTGCAATAGCTCAATATCATCAAGAGATCCTTCAAAGATTTTCACTCTTGCTTTATGGTCTTCATTGTTGATGCATTTCAATAGCTTTTCGCGTGATCGACAAAAGGCGTGTACAGTTGTGTTTGACGAGCAAGAAAGTATTTCTTGCATCAACAACGAGCCAATTGTGCCTGTAGCACCAAAAATTGCGTAGCAAAATGACATTTTCTGGTATTGATTTGGAAGTTTTGTATATAAAAGGTATGGTAATCGCCTATACACCTATTGATGACGTTTGATTAAGTCTAGTAAAGCCTGCGCGGATTTGCTTGCTTGTTAGATCGAATTCCGCGTATGATGCGCGGTCTCCGGCTTCCCATTAGAAGAACACAGTAAGCAGGCTAATTCTCCGCAAAAGTAGAAAGATCCTTTGCAGTAATTTGTTAAAATCGACACACTTTTAAGATCCATAAAGAGTTTTCTATTGATAAGGAGAGGTGTTATATTATCTCGCCGGGAAAATTATTATAGAACAGCCGATATGTATACTCTTAGGCTTTATTATGACGATACTGCGTCTTCTCGTCCGCTAATACTTTTGCCTAACGAAAGGATAAAGTCAGTCTGTTCTTCTGGAGGTAGACCTCTTACCAATTTGTATTTCCTTTCTATTGCTTTGGAACCTATCATACCTTTTCCTTATTCTCTGTATTGTCGAGATCTAATTTATACAATCTTAAACCTTTCAGTAGTCAAGGAATTTATATAAATGCTATTTGATGGAAAAAAATCCTACTTATACTGATGTTGAATGCGATTTGCATGCCCTTCCAAATCGGCATTCCCCGATTATCATTGACGAGCAATGTTTTAGAGTAAGTTAAGGATAGTATTTTTTTGCAAAGGTGTTATCCCCACACTAAAAATTCTATGTTGCAATACGCTAATATGTCACGAGGTGCTGCTCTCCACCATGCATGTTCAAGCCACAATCTACTCACATCTATCATCTAGTGCAAAATGATTGAATCAATTGATCACATAGTGATCACCTGCAAAGATATCAATAAGACAATCGACTTTTATACAAAACTCGGAATGAAACATACACAATTCAGTCAAGGAAGAAACGCGCTCGAATTCGGAAATCAAAAGATTAATTTACACATTGCCGGACATGAATTTGAACCGAAAGCACAGAATCCCGTACCAGGATCACAAGATTTATGCTTCGTAATCAGTATACCTATCCAGCAAGCTCAAGATAAGCTAAGCAAGCATAGGATAGAGATTATTGAAGGACCAGTTCAACGCACTGGTGCAAAAGGACAAATCAATAGCGTATACGTTCGAGATCCAGATGGAAATCTTGTCGAGGTAAGATGAAAAGAAAAAGATGATTACGATAAAGACTAAATTCATTATATCCCTTATAAACACAGCTATCAACGTACAATGGTTAGGAGTTCTACTCGATCAGAAATACAACGATATTCTAAGACCCTTGGTCTGTTTGCATCTTTTATCCAACCCGTTTCTGAAAAGAAGAATTATTGAAAAAGTATAAATTTACTCCTGAGTAAGTAGTCAAGGCCATGAGAGTAATTCGCACGTCGTCGTATGGGGTGGTAAGCCTCATTCCATGATGCCTTCCCGCGTACGTGTTATGCAGAAAAGAAGAATAAATTTGCAGCGTAGCACTGCGCTGGGCTGGGCTGCAGTAATATGCAATATACTCTACTATTTTATTCATATATTATTATGCATACTGCATTTCTGCTAAACGCCACCAGGGGTGAAACGGCATACAAAACTTTTCCTTATCAAGTCTCAGAGTAAATAATACAAAGTGACCAATCCATTCCGTCATTCATTCTCCGCATTAAATAAATCTTACCAACAATATCAAATACATATAAAAGATGTTGGCAGTTCTTGATTTGAAACCTTTAAAAGGACCAGCGCAAATCCGCAAATCTCGCGAATCGCTCAACTATTGATCTACGACGTCCCTTCATAACACGGAAATAATGTCGTACCCAAAATGGCTAGGGTATGAAGAAGTGATGCCTAGTTTGGTCGAAGATGACATAAATCGATTCAAGCAAGCAAAACGACGAAAGAGAAATTGTACTATCTTAGTAGCAGCAATCATAACGATAATTTTCTTGATAGTCGCTAGTATCACGGTAAAACGCCACTCTAGAGATAATCAGGTCAAGAATTCAAACATCAAACCGAACAAAGTGAGCGGATCGAGCGGGTCAAAGTGGTTAATGCAGGCTCTTACCGAACCTTTAGGAGCTGCACAGTTAACACACTCAAATTTAAAGCCATTGACAGGATTAGAACAATCAGCAGTACAACGTGGTTTACCAAATGTACGTAATCTCAGACTTTTATTCCTGAATCATCATTTCGGTACGTCAAGCGAGATGAAAGCTGTGGTATCGACCATTGCTAGACGAAACAATATTACGATAACTACAAAAGAGTCGGGGGGTATACATGATCATGTAAAGTCATTGCATTCCAACAAAGAAGCGTCCGATGCTTACTGGGAAAAGGCAAAGCAGGAAGAATGCAATCCAGATCTATTCGATATGATCATCGTTGGCGATACGCTATCTCTTATCCGACCGCATATTCAGAATGGGTGTAAATTACCCATAATTGCCACCTTGACGACTCGATATGATTGGGCACACGAGACAGACGAAGGATGGAAGAAATTGATCGGCAATGCCTCATATGCATCTAATCTCCGAATTTATCCGAATAATTTGATCGAGGCATGGTACGCTATGAAAAAAGGCGTAGACATACAGATGTACGAGTATTTACCTTCGTCGGGTATTCCTTCTCTTAATTGGGGTGAAGCACTTGATTCGATTCACAGTGTAGTAAAGCAACCCAGCGATAACGAGCTGGTCATCCCAGATTCAGTTCGCATTAAAGCCTGCTTATCATCGCAATTAGACCAGAGAAATATCAAGTACACCGGATATGCACGTAATCAGTACGGTGGACCGTTAGGCCTCACCAATAGGGTCGTGGTTCACTTTCCGTATCAAAGTAACACCATGGGTCTGTTTGAAAATCTACATCAACAGGTGATTTACGTTTTACCAACGATTCGTTTATACAAAGAAATGTATGCAACATGCCAAGCTAAAGTGGAAAGTGTACCGGCAGAATGGCTGAGTGAACAAGACTACGAAAGGTATATTGACTGGTGGAGACAAGATTTACAGCATTTATTCTATTATTTCGACTCATTTGAAGAATTAAGAGAGGGCAGTCCTTTACGTCAGAGGATAATCTCGGAGGCCGACTCTAAACGGATTCAGATTGCAGAATTTATGGTTCGCCAGAAAGAGTACGTGCTTCGAAAATGGGAAGATGCGTGGTTTGGACAATGGTTGTCCCCGTAAAAGTGAAGTATGTAAAGCCAGAAATGAGATATGAATACAATGGAAAGATATAAATCTAGAAGCCTGGCTGAATCGTAGAAAAACAATTATGGCTGTTTTATTTGTGCATTTAAAGCAGTAACCTCTTCTGAGATTTGAGTCGAACCGTTATAAGCTGCGATGAGAACATTTGTCATATTAGGCTTTTCTAGCCGATCAGCAGTGATTTCTAGCCAATTACTCTCTTCCACCACGACATATTACTACCTGCTTCTGAACTGGGTACCCACTCATTAGGAATTTGGGTAAGGACTTTTTAAAAAACGGGTAAACAACTCTGGTGCTCTTTGAATTAGCTTGTATTTCTAGCTCACAAGGTGATCCCTGCTGGCTTGCAAGGCGAATCATTATCATTATACGACAAGGTAGCTACCAGCTTAACTTCTTGGCCAAGATGAACGCGATCTAAAGCGTTATAATGCTTTGTAACAACAATCTTTCCCGGTTGAACTTCAGCATGTCCTATACTTGCTGCATGACAAATTCTTTGAATATTCTCTGTAGCAGTAAAGGTCAAGTCAATAGGCTTTGCAACGTAGCATTGATTTTTTCTACTCCTAAATCCTGTGGTGATTTGATAGGCTGCCAAGCCCGTTGTGATACCCACAACTATTCCAACAACAACAACAACATTTCCATGGATGATCATACTGTAATTGTCCGTTGAAAGGTAGATTTATACGGATGGGAAGAAAAGTAGACCAAGGAAATTTTTACACCCTTTATAATCTAATCATAGCACTGATTAGTGAAGACTAAGAATTGAACGAGATACCCGTTGATCATTTTCTGACAAGACTTTTACTAGCGTCTCCGTTTATTCTTGATTCCAAATTTTTGGTTATAGCCTTTTCCTGTTCTACTTATCCGTTAAAGCTGACTGACGGTATACTAGCAAATCTGCTGACTTGGTTGATACATTGAGCAATGGAACTAAAACCGGTGAAATCGCTTTAGCAGTCCATTGTCGTCATGTTACATCGAATGACATGTGGTATACTTGTCCGCCAGCGTTGCGCAGCGCTGCGCTATACAAGCGATTTCCCTTACACTTCCTGTCATTAGGATGCCGCAAGACTGTGCTACTTCTCCCCACTTTACTACCTAGCGCAGTGCCTGCCTGTCCCTCTTTGTAGTGTAGACAATACGGCGTACAAATTGAGCCCATAGCTTTTGCTGTAGAATATCACTGATCTTGGTTGTATGTATAAAACTTATATGTATGTGTCCTAGAATGTAGAACAAGACAAAGAACCCTTAGAGGTGTACTGTCGTTCATGTGCATCTGAGCAGTAGTATGAAATCTAGGAATAAAGGTAAATGTTTTTACGCCGCGATCACAGAGGTAAAGACAGAAGGAGAATGGGTGAGATCAAAATTAAAATAAGCTGAACGATACCGTTAAGCAGAACTTTTCTCTCCTCCTCCTCCTTTTCTTCTAGATGATAGATTTTTACGAAAGGATATAACAGCACTTTTGTTTAGTCATTTGAACTTTCATGCCCAACTACACTGTACAGACGAGCGGAACGCACCGTGTGAACAGAATCCATAGGAAGATATGAGATCCGTAAATAGAACGCATCTTTATATATATATTATATTTGAGACTGGCTAAGCGCCTCTATCCCTAGTGTGCCTTGCTTGATGCATTAAGGATATATCATTTATACACATCTGTGTTCCTGACTTTTGTGGCTTAGCACTTCTCGATTGGGATATGTGGCGTTTTTTTCATGGTAAAGGGAAAAGGATAGCTACGTACATAGGAACGCGGTATACATATCTTATTTCCTTTTATAGTACTAATTTGCCGAACGCGTTGTTTTATAGTCTTTGTTCCTGATTTGCTGCAGTTTTTATTCCGCCAAAAATGTCATCTTTCTTTTGCTTTGACATGCAGGCACATAATCGTATCATCCTTCCGGACAGTTTTACTACTGCATTTGGACTAATTGATAGAGTTTACAGTACTTTGTTATTAGTAGTGTCGATTGAAGTTGTGCCTGCATCGAATGTTCTGCATAAATCAAAGCAAAATCGGGAACCTAAGAAGGTTACGGGATTCAATCGTTTAACATAGCTTTTAGAAGCCACCAGATATTTCAAATGAATTCGATCTTCAGATGAAAACCTATCGTGTTCGTGTTAAAGAATAGGAAAGATATATAAAGATAACTATAATAATTAATGCAGCCTATCTTTTTCTCCATCCCTCTCTCTCTCTCTCTTTTCCTCAAGGCGTCAAGACATCAAGACAAAATGAAATTCATCCACACTCTTTTCATCGCACTCATTTTCTCCACTGCTTTGCTTTTGCAAGTTCAAGCTGCAAGCAGTGCCCAAGCTTCCGGTGTCCCAACCCCACCGTCAAACAACGCTCCTAACGGAAGCTCTTGCAAAAAAAGTTCCGAATGTGAAAGCGGTAATTGCATGTACTCAGTATGCAAGCAAAAACAACACGATGGTGCTCATTGCTACAAAGATGCTAGCTGTTACTCCGGTCTTTGCACAAGTGATAAGAAATCCGTCAATGGTAAATGTGTTCATCCTCACTCCGTATGGAGAGGAGGCAAGTGCAAAAAGGATGCTCAATGCGTTCATGGAACCTTTTGCTCGATTCTAGAAGGTGACCGATGCAGAACAACTTTCGGCAGAGGTCATAGCTGCAGTCGTGATTCTGTATGCAGATCAGGTTTGTGCAGAAAAAGGAAGTGCACTTAATTGGACAGCAAATAAAATTCATCAGTAGCTTTATCAAAGTTTTTACTTTATCGAAACAGTATACATCTTCGCTTTTTCTTTATGGACATTATACTATTCTCTCATAGGATTTCATACTTTCACTTTTTCTTGTACCTCTTTATATCGCAAATCCCATAAATTTATCCATTCATCCGATATTACGAAGCCGTCAGCAACATTTTTACTAAATCTTAGGAACACATGCTTAGCTACCTCAGTGTTGATGCAACTATTTGGTGATTCAATTGAAATGCCTCACCAGGAAAATTTTTCAAATGGATTCAAATGTTATATGATTGGAGCATTGTACGCACAGCGAAATCATTCAAGGTCTGCCATCTCTGCCTTTTTCTCAGCGATTCCAGCTACGGAAACCAACTTAGTGAGCGTGTCCTGCAATCCATAGCTACTCAATGGTTGACGAGTATAATTTCGCAAGCAAAATGTTTGTTCTTCGGCCATCCATTCCCACCAACCATCGACTGCCCAGATACTCTCGGCAGGATAAAGCATCTCTTTTGATAAACGTAATTTGTTTCTCCTCAAAGAACCATTGATCCAAGCTGGCCTGCCTGTAGGGATGCCAAAGCTTTGAACAGCGGCATCTCTACGATGGAATTTTGAAGCGATGGAATGCTCTTGAATATCACTGATAAAGTGCAAAAGGTGGTCTGAGCAAAAGCCATCCACATGAGGAGAGTATTCTGCTCCAATTGTGCCACCGTATTGCTTGTTGAACGAATAAGGCTGATGAGTAAGCTCAAATGCAAGCCAAAAAGATTCTTTCTCGCCATGGAATTGTTGATATGTATGTGTCTCCCTCACTTTGCGGGTATTCATCCATGATGTCAATAAGAGTGATCCAAACACTTCAGGCTTGTTGAGATTGACGAGTAAGAGACCGGATTCTTGATAGTGATGACAACTTTTTTGCCAGAATAATTCGTGTTTGATCGATGCTGGTGGTCCGTCTACGCCGAATTGATCTTTGAGGAATTTATGCATTTCATGCGGTACGTTTTCTTCTCCTGTACATTGGGCCAATCTGTCTTGAAAGAATAGCGTTCCAGTCTTTCGATATCCTTCACTCTTGAAAATATCCTCTGGTGGCATGACTAAAACTGTGTCTGCATCTACAAGCATTGCTTCGTCAAAGCTACTTGTCAAAAGTGCAAATGGTTTCATAGCCCAGCCTCCACCATCGAGCTTAGCAACTGATTCGTTGAAAGGATTTTGTCTTTTTGACAAATCGATCACGTCAACATCTTTATATGAACTTTCTAGGAAATTTGCCATTGAATCCGGCATATCCTCTTGTCCATAATAGTACACTTCGATGGGAAGTTTGCTATGGAAAACTTCACGAACTGTAGCGATAAAGTGGTTGGCATATTCAAAATTATCTCTTCCGGCTGTCATTACGATCCCGCGACTTTTTCTGTCTTTAGATAAAGATGTACGACGCAAACGACTCTCACGAAGGTTTGTGATACGTGGTACGAAGTCCCAAATTGCCTCTTCATAACGTGTGAATTCTTTGGATTTCGCCTTTCCTGATTTCAGGAAATCAATGTACAATTTCGCTCGCATGCCCATTTGCGCAAATGAGGTACGATCTTCGATTCGAATCGGCCGCTGAACGACGTCATCTATCATTGTTTGAATGGGTGCATGGGAAGCACGATTTGTGAATACATTTGAAACAGCATTAAGGATCAAGAATGTCAGAAGGCAATATGTCAATAAAGACTTCTTTGAAGTTTGCTTGAAAGTAGCAATCGCATTTGCTATCAGCCGCTTTCTTTGTTCGTAAGCTTTCTCGTCAAGGATGCCCATGTTGGAGGTGATATTTGATGGTGTTTGACTGGAAAAACAAAAAGAACGTTTACACTTCTTATACAATTATGATAATCACTTTTCTAGCCTGCCTGTCAATCGATTTCAGGTACGGGACTAAAACTTCAAAACACCGAAGCAATTCATCAGAAAGGGTACTTCTTGCATGCATACCTTTTTTTGTGTGGCTTTTTTTTCTCTCTTACTTGACATTCCAGATGCACACACTTCCTAAAGCGCGTGCGTGTGCTAGAATCCTATTAAACCTTGCATTCCGCGTCGGGTCCCGTTTTGGTATCTCGGCATTGGCAATCAGTTTACACTTTGCATCCTTGCATCATTTCAAACTGTCAAAGGTTGATTTATATCACTTCATTCTTGGGAGCAATTCATCTCTTTTCATAGCAATTTCCGGCAGCGCGTTCCTTACATTGATTCCGCCACAATTCTGCACATCGTTTGCACCTTTATTTCCCACTAATAAAGAATGTAGATTGCAGCTGGCTATCTATTGCTGTTTATCAACTGGAGGAGCTCATGAGATCAACATTTGAGAAACGTACGTTTGTGGAATTGGCAGAAAATATAGAACGTTCACTATATATAGTTCATAATGATTATTTTCTCTGTTTCAACTACCACCATTGCTTTCTCTCGTCAAGATGACAAGGTATATGAACAAATTTAATTCTTGGATCACAGAGCGTAGGAATTCGGACGAGTTACGGGTTTCTCTAATCGATAAAGAATCTGTCGATATCGAATCCCGCAGAAAATCTTCAGCTGTAGATCGAATCTCCACTCATTGTGCTAATTTCGTTCGAATTGTCGAAGTTCAAGCCGCACCCTTTATACAACGCTCCAAAGTTCGCTTAATCGCTATATTCCTCATACTATGTCTTCTATTTCTGTCTTTGTTCGGTAATCGAACGCATTCTGTAAAAGTTGAATCCAGTAGCGTAAGTACCTTTCATTGCTTTTCCACCAAAATTTTACTAACATTTTCACCACTTCTATCTGCAGTCTGTTTGGGATGATCTTGGATACTATCTTGACTCTGTCGATCCTGGCGTAGTTGCGCCTCAAAAGATCAATGAGGCAAAATGGCCTGCCCGATACACTGTTCAAATGCCAGATAGCGATATAAAAGCACTACAAAAGTCACACAAGGATTTCGTCAATCTTTCCTCGGATTTAACTTTGAAAGGCACATATGCTCCTGGCACAACTGGCATTGTTTCAACAGCTGCTGGCAGATATCTGAACGTCTTCTTGGTTTCTTTGCGCTGCCTCCGACGAACTGGTTCAACTTTACCGGTCGAATTATTCTTGGAAGCCGATAACGAATACGACGAATACTTTTGCGAAACCTTGTTGCCAAGCCTAAATGCTCGTTGCAAAGTGATGAGTCATTCGATCGGAACAAAACTGGCAAGAAAGTTGGAAGCATTCCAGATCAAAGCTTTTGCAATCATGAGTTCATCATTTGAAAATGTTCTCTTTTTGGATGCAGACAATCTTTCACTAGAAAATCCAGAAAAGATATTCGAATCTTCTATCTATGAAACGATGGGCTTGATCCTTTGGCCAGATTTTCTTGAAACATCCGAATCTCCAATTTTGGCCGAAATCCAAAGTCCATTAGCAGCAAAATGGACAGGATCTAGCAACATTTCTATGGAATCTGGCCAAATCTTCATTTCAAAATCTATACATGAAAAAACGTTGTTTTTGGCATGTTATTATAACTACTACGGTCCATCCTACTATTATTCTTTATTCACTCAAGGAGGCAATGGTGAAGGAGATAAGGAAACTTTTGCAGCCGCAGCCGCCTATCTCCGTAATCCATACTATCTCGTTAAAGAGATGGTACACGGATTCGGCTTCTTTGATTCAAATTCTAAAGATGTTATTAAAGATATGGAACATTTCAAGAATATTGGTATGATACAATTCGCACCTGATTGGCATGGATCAAGCGATACACTCAAACCTTTGTTCCTACACTGGAATTGGCCTAAATTGGACGCAGGAAGATTTTTAGACGAAGAACATCTACTGCAAGATCATACAGGCGTAAATCATCGTGTATGGGAATTTGCAAGAGGACCCGGAGATGTTTTCATTCCATGGGCTGAAATAAGCTTCAGCGTTGACGCAAAAGGATGGGGTCGAGATTCCGAAGCTATTGCGATTGAACAAATGATCAGAGTCGCATGCGTTGATTTACGCAAACGCAGAGGTATGGAAACCGCATGTAAGAAACTTCGAGCGCATTACCGTAAAGTGTATTCTGGTGATGCTAATTAGAGTATGATCAAGCTGATTATGTACCTGATCAAATGATAAGTTTATAGAATAGTATTATCGGATTTGTTTGAATTTGGATTGGTATTAGAACACTTCTAAGGAAAGTCGATAAATTGGTGGACATTCGGCTTGTCTCTCGAGGATAGACCGAATTAGCCTAGCCCGGGTTAGAATTAGTGGGATCCAGCCAGCCTAATTAGGGTTAGAAGTAGGTATTTTTAGTTTTGAATTAGGCGGGCCACATTTCAATCAGTCCCGATCAAGAGAGTGAAACGCTTACCTCATCTTCAGACTGGTCACGTGTTTAGTCCTAAATCTCCGTCGTCATTTTGAAAGTTTGTCTCCTTTCCAAGAAAAGCCACTCTGAGTAAAAGGAGAGGTATAATCCATGGTTTAAAAAGAAGAATAACAATACCACATAGCTTTAAAACTGATTTCAAAGATTATTTTAGACGATAATACTATATAATAACATTAATTCAATAAACATTTTATTATTTAACTATTCTAAATAAACAGTTTACATTTTACTTATTCGATGATATTAACAAAGCGTTTCATATCATAATCAGAGATAATAATGATATAACAGCTACCTATGCTCTTATTTTTCCGGCTATCTTAGTATTTAATAAAATATTATACTCAATGAGTATGTTCAAGGTCACGGTGCGATAAGAATCACCGAAAGACTATACGCTGAATACTATAAAAAATAAATAAAAATTCTATACTCGATCATGTAATGAAGTATATCTTTTATACCTTCAGCTGCTTGTGATCTACTTTTACTGAATGTCATAATATAAAATACCATGGGCGACCTATATTCTAGTCTTTGATGATCCCGAGAATCTCGGTGTATATATCTATATTATACTATATTCATAACGCTAGCCGTGACGGAAATCGGGTACGGTAGGAATAAGCATAGAAATTGTTACGCGACGCGTACTCAAAAAATGCCTTCGTGTAGAAGACGTAGTGTACGTATAAAGTTAAATATAAACTTCTGTCCTTACTTCAGATATTCCGACTCCTCCTCCTCCTCCTCCTCCTCCTCCCTCATCGTAGCTGACACGCGACAACCCTGTTCCGGCAGCAGTCCAAGCAGTCTAGATAAGCCCTAGCGGATAGTAATTTACCAAATACCTTCAACAACATTTGCTTTAAGTGTGTACTGCGTAAGTTCCTCTCTTTACACCTGTCCTACAAAAAAAGCATGGCTGAGGCACAAATCCACGCTACATAATGATTTCAACATTTTAGGCTAAAAAGAAGGTTGCGGTATAGATAGAATATTGACACAGTTCTAATAGCGTAGTGGTCATCCATCTGTAGGATGCCAAGGTATCTAAAGACCACATGGTTGATAGAGTATATGTGCATATAATGATGTCATGCGTGCCAAGATACGCTAAATAATCAGTATATACGGATATAATTGGCATTGAGCTCGAGGTATATAATATATATATATATATATATAAGATACCCAAAGACATCCTCTTTCGCTTTTCTGGCAACGTCTGCTGTCGGGACAACGAGAGCATCTTTTAACGATCACAAAAAATGTCTATCAATTTGACCTACTTTGAGAATTTGAACATTGGAAATAATCAGTATCCTTGGTATGTTCCTCAAATGGCAATATTCAATGGATCTTGCTTCAAAGGTGAAACAAGATCTATTGTACCAACCACATATTTTCCACAAGGCGATAAACCATTCAATAAAGATCAAGCAACTGCAATCAGCCTATCAGAGAATAATGCGATTTGGTTCATTAACCCTTTCAAATACACATTATGTCTATTTCGCAATGACAAAAAAGACTACGCATGTGTAGGCGGAGGTACTTGCTTGGAAAGCGATTTTGACACTGGAACAGTTTATAACAGAGCTTTGATAGTAGCAAATAATGACACTACTCTTTCCTCGAGATATCTTACAGGCAGTGCCCGGAAAGTGACATCCATTAATCGTACCCTAGCAGTCGTCTGGCTACTTATAACGATCATGATTACTATGCTCGGTGAGCTGTAATGGAAAACTTATTAGATGTCTTAGCCATGCTTATACCTTGCACAGAATAATCAAAAGAAAAGCATCACACCCCTCCAAGACGTTCTCAGCGCTATGTACGCGAGCTGTACCGTCGTTCCCATTATTATAGCTTTAATAAATTATCTACTTCAATGCGCACTTTCGTCAAACAAAAGTAAGATTTGTTTCCCTGTCCCTTATACTCGTCCTAGTGATGTCTCGTTCATTTCAATTTCCCTAAATATCATTCAGAGCAAATTTGGATGTCACTTCACGCGATCTAATAAATCAAAGTCTTCTTGAATAATGAATAAATCAAGAGTCAGAGAAAATAATATGCTACATATGTGAATTACTAGAGACCATCATCTTTTTCCATGTTTCCTTCCCCATCTGAAGACTTTCTCCCCTTACACCAAAAGGCTAATATCAAAGCTGAAGCTCCGCCTAAGCCAAGTAAAGACACATTGACCGAAACAATTACTGTAGGTGAAACATGAGAAGCGTTGATTCCATAAGCAATACTTTGAGCCAAAGATTCTGTTCCACGAATGATTGAAGTGAGTAACGCAATATCACGTAAAGAAGTTGAATAAGAAGAAGCTGTCCAGTAAAGTTGAGATTGAAGAGCTTGCATTGAAAATGCCAATAATAAAGGTGCCATTCCGTATTTGAGAAAAGTCGAAGCTGAAGGAGACCAGTCAATCGGCTTTCTGTGAGAACGAATGGAGAAGATTGCCCATCCAAAATATGCCCAGGAGATTGCACTCAAGAGCAAAACGAAAATCGTGGAATACCGTCTTTTTTGGGGAAGTTTTGACAAATTTGATCTGGTCCCATAACGAGAGTCACAGAATAAAGCTGTTATTGCAGAACCTAAGATAGCACTTATTGCAGTGCAAAACGCAAGCAAAGCTCTCGAGCGAACAGTGAAATGTTTACCAACGTATGTATGCATCGAAGAGAAATAAAAGTAAGCGTAACATGCCAATGGCAGCATCAATAGTACTTCTTTTGTGCACAATTTTTTCCAGAGATCTGTATATTCTGATTTTAGTGGTCTCTTTTCTGCCAACTCGTTGTCGATATCAACCCTTTGCCCGTCTTTGTGGTAAACTTTATTCGTTGGAGATAATAACAAACTGCATGGCAACGCAAAGCACATGATACCGATAGTTATATAATAAACAGTATAACTGATTGTCCCTTTTTTATTATCTTTTACGCTTATCCCAAGATTGATTGCACTTGAAATTAAGCTACCAAGTTCTTTTGCCGCTACCCAACCGGTTATACAACGTGCTCTTTGATAGGATTTTGGATATGCATTTATTACAAAACCTTCCGCCGCCCAAAACAGTCCAGTAGAGAGACCGCGAATGACTGCAGCGACAAGTAAGAAAGTTGTGATTCCGTATTTTGATGAAACGATCAGACCTGCTGCAAAAATTGGATCTCCGATTGTACCAATCGCAAGAGAGGTACGAACGTCAAATCTGTTGACTAATGGGCCTCCTAAGAAGCAAATACAGCCCAATAAGGCAAAATTGATTGCAGTCGCAGCATTTGCAATGTACGGTTTCTCTTGACCTGCTCCTCCCAGATTTTGCAAAGCATTAAATGTGCCAATGGTACAAAAAGCGATACAATAAACTAAGAAGATCTGACTGATCACGCTCCTTCTCCCGATCCTTGTCATGTCTTGAAGAAGGGAAAGAAAGGTGACATTCTGACGTTAAGTTTGATCATTCCAAATACCATTTACTCAATTGTATACATTGATTCGAAAACATGAGTACGAATGAAAGATTCTTGTGCATCTTATATCAGATTACGGAGATGCCGCTGATCATATCGAGACGCTTTTTATCGTACGAAAAAAAGAATTAAAGTTGAGTGAATAATGCGAAGAAGATTGCTAAAGCACACAAGAATTACGCGTTTAACAATTGCAATGAAAGATTTGAATACATAGATGAAAAAGACTACTGACCTTTGATGCACCGCTGAACAACAACAGATCAGATAAAAGCTATAGAGGTTAATATAGATTCAACTTTATCACTCTAGATACGACCTTCTAACCAGGATGCAATAACCGCGTGCTCACATGCAGGAACAATTTCTCGCTCTCCCGACCCGCAATTCAGAATAGCTTTGCACCTTTTAAAGAATAATGATCTTAGGTTCAAGCTAAAGCTACCGAACACAGACGTATTACTAATTTTGCTGACGTAAGTATTATATGCAAGTTTTGTATTTTGCTTCAATTTTGAATAGCACAGAGAACATGGCAACCATTACACTAATGAGAATCGTTCACAACACAAAATACTACGATCCCACAATAATCGACAGATTTGTTAAACAGTCAATGCCCTATGTACCTTTCTGGTCCAAATGTTATTCGCGGACCGCATTTCATTGCCTTCATTATATGCATCAATAGGGTTAACGAGTATGGTGCAATATCTATACAATAATTCTGTGTATATGCAACCCGCACACGACCCAATATTCAGAGTTGCATTCTTTGGATGCACTCTCCATCAGTCACTTATTTTGGCATCAACCGAACCTGTGCCAGCGAAAGCTTCGGTAGCAAAGACTTGATAATTGAAATCGGGATTTGCAGAATTATTTGCAAAGCCATACTTTCTCCAAGCAGTAAAATGATTTGCAACTGTAACTTTACCTGAATTACGTTTAGCTTGTCGAACGGAGAAGAATTGACCAAAAGTTTTAGTACCCTGAATGGATGGCTGATTGACTTGGGTGTGTTTACAAATATTATATTGAGAGCCATCTGACGTCACATAGCCAACCGTCTGAGCATTACCGATAGAACAAGGATCCGCACTGAAATTCTCGACGATATAATATTCTGTCAGGGGAGAATTCAGCCAACCATATACAGCCAGATAGGAACTCTGGTCAGACTTATATTGGGTGTTGAAATTTATTACTCGATTGTAAGTGCCAGTACTCCAACCCAGACCGATCACAAAGTCGCTGGGATTGTTCCATTCACCCGAATAGGTGCCAGACCCTTCGTTGTAAGTGAAATTGGCCAAGTTTCCGTTGTAATTCTGTACATAATTGATCTTTTGGTCGACAGAGTCGGTTGAGAGAGCGGTACTGATTACCGCAAGGGCGAAAGAAAGAATGGATAGTAGCTTCATAGAATCAATAAGGCTCCTTTTTGAATTTGCTCTTGGAACAGAGAATTCATGGTGTTCAGCAATACCTTTGCATACTTATATCTTTTCATCTTTAAAGCACCGGCAAGGCAAAGTAGTAGCGTATATTTGCTTTTAGAGAAACAGGAGTAGCCACCGGTGATGGATGTATCCCAATATCCCTGTCCTTGCATGCATTAGCTTGTTGTAAGCGCACGCAGGGAAAAGCAAGACATCCCCGTCTAAAAATCTCTATAGCGAGACCGGTAGGGCCAGAGTACAGTGAAGCAGAAATCAAGAGAGAGTTTTGTTACCATTCAGGAACATGCTGTTTATTGCGCAGTCCTAAGTTGGTTTTTGACTTTTTTTTAGCGGTTTCTTTGGTTACCGGCGAAGCAGAATAGGTGGCAAAACTGATGACTAGGTATGATGAAAGGAATCCCTCTCGGCTTAAAGAAGTGAGCGGGAATCTGTCAAGACCGGCAACGTTTTGAACGGTGTAAACGTAGGCTAAAGCATGCAGCTTCGGCACGCTAAAAAACTTCCCCGCACCGAAGCGGGGAAAGAAAAAGAAAAGGTTACCTGATATCCTTTTCGCATTGCCGGTGATCATGATCACATATAAAAAAGGACATCTATAATTAGTAGCACTTTGTTCGCAGGTACCCAGAATGATGTTCTTGTTTTTGGTCCAATTGGCAATATTGACATTGAGCCAGGTTGTTCTGTCGTCAAATGTTCCAAATATTTCCGTCACTCACCTCTTTCAGAACAACTTAAATTTCACAGATGATACTAGCCATAACAGTTTCTTACTCGTTCAGGGGAAGGATAGGCAACCAAGCTCAAATGCTCACAGCTTGTGTGCTCAGCTGATGGAGAGACCAATCACCGTTGAAGAAGCTCAAAGAGATCAAGACGATCTGGCAAGATTGATAGGATACCAAATTTATTCAGCGAGAATTCCTGCAAGTCAATCCATCCTCTTATCCGATGGAACGGCGAATTTCATGGTCAACTCAAAGAAATTGCAAATCAACAAAGGTAAGTCTTCTTTTCAAAATTGGCCGGTGTTATGCACCCAATCTGATACTCAAACCACAACAAAAGCCAGCGTGGCCACGACATCAAATATTTTCAATGTGACCACGGCACAATCACGAAACACATTTACAGGATACCGTAATAAGAAGAGCTTTCGTTTTCTTGGTATACCTTATTCGAACGTTCCTGCAAGGTGGACTTATGGAAAAGTGAATACGAGAACAAAGTCGTATTTTAATGCGACTTCTTTTGGCTCGATTTGCCCTCAATCAGGATCGCAAGTTGACGATGAGAACTGTTTGTTCTTGAACATTTGGACGAACTACCTTCCCTCTGGTTCAAATGATAATTTGAGACCTGTCTTATTCTGGATTCACGGTGGCGCTTTCACTGGTGGTTCTGGTTCAGACCCAACATTTGATGGTGGAAACTTGGTATCTCGTGGTGATGTGATTTTGGTCACAATCAATTATCGATTGGCTAACCTTGGATTTTTAAATGTACCAGGTACAAATATAACTGGTAATTATGGAATAGCCGATCAAATATTAGCTCTGAAATGGGTACGAAACAACATCAAAGCCTTTGGCGGCGATCCAGATCGAATCACAATTTGGGGTCAAAGTGCGGGAGCAGGCAGCGTTCGCGCTTTGTTGGGTAGTCCAGAATCTCGTAACTTATTCGCAGCAGCTATACCCGGATCAAATCTGGGTGGATATGATTACGGAACATCGTATTCACAATACTATACACCGCAAGAAAGTTATGCTGTTATTGGTAATGCAACAATCTTTGCAGCAGGTTGCAGCGGCAATAATTCATCAACGATTCAATGTCTCCAACGTGTTTCAGCTTATGATCTGCAAAACACTGTACCTAACAAAAGCCCGGCCAATGGCAATAGTGCCCGGTTTGTGATTGTTGATGGTACATACATTACCGAATCAAGACTCAATGTCACGGATCGTAGAAAAGTCGCAAACGTTCCGACCCTCTGGGGCAATGTGGCTGAAGATGCGGCCCCTTTCCTTCAGTACTCTTCTTCAGGCACTAATCGAACAACTGCAATCAGTTCAGTACTATATGGTGATCAGGCTTCCTTTGCCAAAGATGTTTTAGCAAACGAAAACCTTTTTCCACTCGGAACATCTTTGTCTAATAATATTTCTCTAAACGCTTTCAATCTTTCCGCTCAAGTTGGAACAGATGTGATCTTTAGATGCTTAGATCAAGCAACAGTCTCAAGTGCCCTAAAGCACAAATCTTTCCAAAAATCGTGGTATTATCAATTCGAACGTACATATCAACCCAGCGGTTTTGATCCTAATGCGCCTGTTTGTGACGCTCCAAAGACGGCAAACAGACCAAACGGTGATCCAAGCTTACCTTATCTCCGTTGCCATTCTGGCGACCTTTTATTTGAGTTTGGTAACTATGCAAACGAAGCGGTGGTCTTTCGTGATCAATACGATTTACCATTTACTGCTTTGATTATGGATTATTGGACTGCATTTGCTCGTGATCATGATCCCAATCCGCCAACGGACTACTTGTCTGTAAGAGGATATAGCAGCACAGCAGAAATTACTCAAAAAACGGGAAGATGGCAAGAATCACAATCGCAGAACCTGAATGCACGATTGTTAGATGCTTTACCTAGGCAATTATTCACTTCGATACGCTCAAAGCAATGCAGTATAGTTGGAATTCCGAGTGAGTACCTTGAACCATCGTCTATAGCAACCTGAAACTGACGTCAGATTTCATATCTAACAGTTGACACTTACTTCGAATGACACACGATCACCTAATCATAATTCAAGCATGTATTCCGCGTCCAATGAGTCAGCTACCACCAAGTACTGCAGGAACAAATTGTTTTTACGCTATACAATTAGTGGATGCGTCCTTTCGAGATGACTACTATGGCCGAAGCGATTATGAGGGTATCAAGTTGTGTTTTGATTGATCATAGCGTATGCATACCTTCATTTTAGACTAAATTTGAAATTGAGCTTTCTCCGTATGAGCATTTGACTCACCGTACACCTCAACCGCCGGCTCGCATGAAGCCCGCAGGCACATTCGGCATAGCTACTGTAGCTTGTTTCCTTAGCGTTTTCAACTTGCATACAATTTTATACACCTTAAGAAGGAAATAAAGTTCCTGAAATACTTAAAGTTTCAGTTCCCGGTTGTCCACGTTCCCTGAAATGCAGATCGAAAAGAATCAGTAGCATTTGAAACTGAGACTCGTTTGTATATATAGATAAGAAGCTATCTTCTGATTAATTGAACGGTTGACTTCCAACATTCGACTCCCTTTCTCAGAAATGTTTGGACGTGCTCTTTCGGTGGTCTTTATCGGCTTTGCTGTAATTATACCAGCTCTTTCATTACAAACCATCAACGACAATGTTCGTCCAAGTCAACATCATACCGCATTTCATGGTACATCCGGCATGACGATTTCATGGTCAACCCATGCGAAATTAGACAAGCCAACAGTAAATTATGGTTTAACACCTTATACACTTTGGCAACAAGCCTCTAGTTCGGAATCTGTCACTTATCCAACTTCTACAACCTACCTCAACCACGTCATCTTGAAAGATCTCTTACCTTATAGAACCTATTACTACAGCGTAAGCAATTCATTCGCTAATCAAACCTATCAATTCAAAACTGCTCGTATCGAGGGTGATCGTTCTTCCCATACGGTTGCCATGGTGGCGGACATGGGAACATTCGGTTCTTTAGGTTTATCCTTTAACGATAAATATCCACCTGCTTTAGCGCCAGGAGAAATCACCACGATTCAAAGATTATCAACTACCTTGGATCAATTTGACTTCTTATTACATCCAGGTGATTTTGCTTATTCAGATTATTGGTTAAAAGAAGAATTGTTAGGTTATTTACCTTTTGATTTAGCGACCGGACCTCAAGTATATGAACAGATCAATGAAGAATTTTATACCCAATTAGAAAACATTACTGCCTTCAAACCATACATGGTATCTGTTGGAAATCATGAAGCAAATTGCGATAATGGTGGTACAAAAGGTTATACCGAAAGTATCTGCCCTGTTGGTCAAACAAACTTTACAGGTTATATAAACCGTTTCCGTATGCCTTCCGATGTTTCCAAAGGTGTAGGCAATTTCTGGTATAGTTATGATTATGGAATGGTTCATTATCTTCATTATACTACAGAAACAGATTTCCCTGGCGCCCCTGATGCATTTGGAGGAGGCCAAGGTGATGATGCAGGACCATTTGCTCCTACTGGTGCTCAATTAGCATGGATCGAGCAAGATTTGAGATCTGTCAACCGGGAGATTACACCTTGGGTTGTTGCTCTAGGTCATAGACCTTGGTATGTTGCAAGCAGTTTGTGTTATACATGTCAAGCTGCTTTCGAGCCATTGTTTAACGAATATAATGTCGACGTTGTTTTATCGGGTCATGTTCATGCAATGGAGAGAAACGCTCCTATTGCCAAAAATGTCACCGATGAAAATGGCTTAAACAATCCTAAAGCACCACTTTATTTAACAAATGGTGCTGCAGGGCATTTTGAAGGTTTAGATACTCTCAACAGTCCTCTTCCAAGTTATGTCACCTATGCAAACAATACCAAATTTGGATATTCGTTACTCACTTTCCATAATATCACCCATATGACCCACAACTTTATTTCCTCTGCTTCAGGTCAAGTTTTGGATTCAGCAACTTTGTATAAGGAAAGATCATTTCCATATTAAAACTCAAAATATACATTAATAACTTTGCTTTTTGCCTTCTTTTGTAGATGTATGAAGTCTGACACAGCTTAAAAATTGATCACAAGTGCGACAGAGCACCAGCGCTCGAATGATTTCAGTAGAGCCGCGCCCATGCTAAAAGTGCTAAATTGATCGCTATACTGTGTTTAATTGATCGAACAAGGTGTATTGACTTCACAAGCGTAATGACGGTGAATGCGATAAGCGGTGTATTGATGAGAAGTAGCAGGAAAGAGTCGCTTTTTATTGGGCAATCCGTGGAAGCATCGTAGTACCGATCCGTGGAAGAAGATGCATGCAAAGAATTGTAAGTGGCAACAAATGCTCTGCGTATCTCAGCAATGTTGCTGTACGTATGTATGTACATGTGATAACTTTCTGATTGTTTAAATGGGGTCAGACAAGTACAGATCCTTCTCCTTACCCCTCTATTCCTGTCAATTGTCTTCATTCTCGTTTTCTAAACACCGAGAGATTTCCGGGTTTTTATACGCTAATGTAGAATGTATGCCAAGGCGAAGCAATTATGAGTGTAATATTCGGAATTCTAAACGTCATGCAAGTCATTTTGCTTCTATGATCAGCTTCTTATGCCGAGTATTATCACGCTAAGACAATTTGCCCCACACTTGGAACTTCTGAAATGGAAAAGTCCTTTGCAGTAGCTACCAATGTGATCGATTAAATACTTGATTGCAATCAACGGATCATGGAACCTTATTCTTTGTTCATAAAGAGATTTCCGGTGACAACCCGATGTCAAAAGGTATAAATTATGCCAGAGCTAAAATTCAGGACATTATTGCCATCAAATCATTCACCCTCACATCATCCCTTTATAGTCGAATGTCGTTCAATTTTGCCTGCCTCATCACATTGGTCCTCTTGGCTTCCAGCGCCTCCGCTGCTCTCATTCCTCGTCAAGATAAGTCATGGACTGTTGCATTGAATGATCGGCCGGTACGAGCACTAGTCACACAAAATTCTGATGGTGTTTTTAGCTTTGATTGCCAGGCGAACGGTAAAACCGTCATCAGTGCGTCTAACATCGGATTTTCTACCTCCAATGGTGATGTTGGACCCGAATTTAGTTCTTGCACAGCTCAAGACCAAAGCTACACTGTTGAATCGTACAACACCATCGCAGGTAGGAGTCAATCCCATTATGCCCCCTACCAAACACAGACCTTCAACTGCAAAACGTCCAATGGTCAATCTAGCTCCGTAGACGTTCGAGTGGGGATCGATGGTTGTGCTTTCCGCGTCGGCTTCCCTGATGGTCAATACACTATCAATAGTGAAAGTTCAACGTGGACTTTTGCTCAGAACGGTGCTTCTTTCTTGATGGATGATCCTGACAATACGTCATACGAAGGAGAATGGGAACAAAGCGATGCCGAGACAGGTTTACAAGGTTCGAAAAATGTCCTGATGCCCTATCTTGTAGATGCAAACTCTGCTGTCGCCAACCAATGGGTTCTGCTTGAAGAATCAGCCATGGATGGCTCTTTTGGCGGCTCTCAGCTTGCCCACAAATCTGGTTCCTTGGCTTATCAATTTGTCTTTGCCGAAGGCGGAAATGTCAAGGTGGATGGCAGTATTTTTTCACCTTGGAGAATTGCCGTTGTGGCTGACTTGACAAACCTGTACCGCACAACGTTTGACGCAGACAACATACCTTCCACCAACATCAGCGATGTAAGCTGGATCAAACCCGGCCCAGTCTCTTGGTCATGGCTGCCTGAACCCAATTCTCCATCAAATGAAACTCGCCAGATGGAATATGTTGATCTTGCTTCTGAGCTGCAATGGCCGTATACCTTGGTTGATGAGGGTTGGAATGAAAAGTGGGTTCCCGATCTCGTTCGCTATGCTAACAATAAGAGTGTGGATATCCTTTTGTGGTACAGTGCCAATCAATGGAACTCAACAGATGCCGTCGCCAGCAACATTGCCAATTTGAAACAGTGGGGAGTTAAGGGTGCAAAGATTGACTTCTTCCTGTCTGATGTTCAAGCCATTCATGATCAACAAACTTATATTTTATCACAGATGGCTGCCGCACAACTTATGGTCAACTTCCATGGTACGCCTCCTCCTCGTGGTAACCAACGTACCTGGCCTCATCTTCTGACGCAAGAAGCTATCCGTGGTGACGAGCATCCAGCTTATTCATTCCGTAATACCGTTATTCCATTTACACGAAATTTGGTGGGTAGCATGGATTTCACCCCAGCTCTTTATACCGTGGCGGGAGTTAATGGTGGAAGTCAAGAACAACAAGAACAGCAGTCCGCTCAATGCTCTGTCGGTTGTGGCCTTGGCGAATCGATCGCTTTCGAATCGGCTTGGCAACATATTGGTGAAAAGCCTGAAGTGATTAGAAATTATACTCTTGCTGCTCGTTTCTACAAGGGACTTCCTTCCGTTTGGCAAGCCAGTACAGTTTTGCCTAATTCGTATCCTGGTAAAGCTTTCGCCGTTGGTCGTTACTATCAACCTTCTGATCGTTATTATTTCGGTGCAGTCTTTAATGGTGATGCACAAACATTTGAATTGCAACCTACTATACTACCAAACGATAAGAAATTCATTCTAGATATCGTCAGCGATGGCAATGACGATGACAGTGATCGCACCAGTATTATGCGTACGATTGTTACTGATGTCAGTAGTACTTCAACCGTCAACGTACACGTCAAGAGTAATGGTGGATTTACAGCAATTGCTTGCGAGACTGCAGGTTCAGACGGTGGATGTCTGGCAACCCTTTAAAAGTTCCATTTGATTCATATCTATCCGCATTAACCCTTTAACCCAAACAGTGTTTTATGTAACTAGTCATGAAAACGAATCCATAGTCTGCATTAAACACGTAAAAAGGGAGAGGGAAATTGCCAAAGTCGGGCCACCAGATGGCACCCATTCTCTTACTTGTAATCTCCCATTGATTTTAGCTGCGTGATGTCAATGAGTGTTGTTCGGCAGAGTAATACGGTTGCAATGGTTTAGAAGTGGCTTTTGTTAGCTGAGCTAGCTGATAAAATGCACTTATGCGGGGGCGCGTGCGCATACTCTGCCGCGCGAGTTAAAGCGTACTTGCTGGAAGGGATGGGAAGAGATTCATAACCTCCCCTTCTCTCGATCATCTTACCTCGCAAGCCAGATTGAATCGATTGTCATCATTGTCAGACTTCAATCACCCTCTTTCATCGGCCAGATTAAATCGATTACTATCATCATGAAGACTTCCGGCTCCTTCGCAACCTTATGGCTCCTAATTCTCGCCATCATAATTTCCCTTATATCCATTGCAAGCGCAAATGATGACGCACCAGTCACTGTCAAAGTCTACTTTGACATCGAGCACGAAGGAAAGGATGTTGGCCGCATTGTTATGGAACAGGCTACTTGCCAAGGATTGGAGTACGAGGTCAAAGGTCACCTACAATCCTGATTCCGAGTTGGATGTTAAGGATGTGGTTTCCAGATGGAATTTACCCGCAAGGTCTTCCACCCTCTGTAAAGATTGAAGCTAAGAGAGCCAGATCACCTGATGAGGTGAAAATATTTCTTCGACTTGACAGCACAGGGCAAAGTGATAATGAAGGTATGTGGTTCAATGCGTTACGATATGCAAAAGATGGTTTGCCTCCGGCGCAATTTGGCGCTACATTCAAGACATTCAAGGTGGAATGCGAAATCTTGATGAAGAAAGTTAAGTCGACAAGATGTTGTCGCCCCATAGCAAAGATTTGAAATGAAAATAGTCCAAAATGCCGTCAAATGGCGTTTTCTTTCTCGTTATGTGCTTATCTGTAAGCCCAGGAAGATATTGTCACTACTTGCCGGTCTAGCTAATTGTCGACAAAAATACACCTCGCTGACCAAAACAAATATTTTGGTCAGTTTCTGATGAAAACATGTTTGTACTTCCTCTTCAACGCTTTCTACCGGTACTGATTGGATGACATGTGGTGGATAAATGTATGGTGTAAACAGAGAAGCGATCAGAATTAAGTTCTTCCGGAGATGAACCGAGTAGAACGTGGGCGTCAATCGCTTCAGCTTAGAGTGTTGTATTTGTATTTGTTCTCTGATTTGCGTCTGGAAGACATGTGCGACTTCTTTTAAAAAAAAAATTGGACGCGTTAGAGACACGTCGTTGTCTTCGTATAGGAGGTCTGCCATTGGCGGGCAATCTCATGATTCATCATGCGACTGAATAGCCCCCAAAAAAAATTTCAATTACATCGTTTTCTATCGTCCTCTTTTTTGGCCTGTTCAAATTTGCACCGCGGCGAGCTTCTTCAGCTTACCCGCGCATCAGCCTGGAAGCAAGGCAACAGTTCCCGTTGCATCTCCACGCAAAACATGAAACTTTAACTTCAATGGTTTACGTACGAGTGTAAGCATATGTGAAGCGATGCCCGTGATGAAGCACGTGAACAAAATAACCAAAGGCTGAAAAGATTCATTTTTTGACAAACTCATCTCATGCTTACCGCGCTTTCGCAGCACGCCTTGTTCCTTTCTGAGATAGTAACACCAAAAGGATAGAAACCTCCACTACAATTAGAAACAAGAAAAATCTTTCGATCACTTTTTCTTTATTTTCAAATTGACACGTTCAAGCTCAACAAAACGGACTATATCTAGTTACGTTCATAGATTTTTGAGACGCCACGCCTCTGTTTTCTCGAACGGTCTTTCCGCTACGCGCATACGAATCGGTTGTCTCAAAAAGCTGAAGAAGCAGTCGAGGCGTTGGCTATTGAGGACGCATTAACCCTTTACGGTGCGTGAGAATTATGCAATCTAAAATGAAAGATACACCCAATTTTTAAGCTAAGATAAGCTAAGATTAGAGATTAGCAGATTATTGCTTCACTTTTACTATTCAAGATTACAGAGTACGTGCGCAAGGCGCATGGTTGCTTATGTCATCCGAGTAGAACTAACAAAATTAATTTCGCAGATCGAGAGAGCACTTTTGACATCTATTGATCAAATCAAGGGAGACGACCACGCTTTGCAACATAAAATACAGAGCCTTTGTAGGAAAATCAAATTGCAAAAAAGCACCGTTTGAGATGTTGAGGACCTGGTCTGTTTTTGCGACAAACTCCTCATGTAACCCTAAACATTACAGAGGCCGTTTTCGGGATCGCAGCAATTGTTAAGACAGTAAATGCGAATGGTAAAATCTTTTGATGGCTTTGCTTGTACTTTGAGTGGTATTGAAGCAGGATTGGTTCAATCCTGAGCCACTTTTCAGTAAAACGAAATACCTATTCTGATATTTTAAAAGGTAAGGGTCAGTATAACAAGGACCATATCTAGATATACTAAAGAGTAAAGTAAAGTATTGTATATAGATAATACATTCTCTTTAGTATAATAAAAGAGTTGTAATTATCGTAATACCGTAAGTAAGAAATGAAAAGAAAAAAAAGAGATTTTTATATTTACTTCTATAATATATCTATTATAAGCCGGTTAGCTACTTTATAATAAATATTATACTCTTATCCCTTTACATCTTTTATTTACTAAAATTTTTGTAACTTAGGATAAAATAATTAATACTTTACTAGCATTTTATAATATCTAAAACTCTATATAAAAAAAATAGAGAAGCCAACGGCCTTATATATTGATTATAAAATAAGAAATCTACTTTTCCCTAACTATAATATAAGTATCTCTCATTATAAAGTAGGATCAATATATTTTTATAGTATTCTAAGATCAAAGTGTCTTTTAAACTTTACATTTAACGTGATTTAGAGTAAAATGACTCAAACTTTATAGGTACTAGGAAAAGAGCTTTACCGTACTATAACTATTTAAACATAACTTTAATTATTTAAGTAGAGATTCTTAAGAAGTCCTAGTCTATAAAATTTTAATAAGCCGAGCGAGAATACTTTTAGACCTTCTTTATAATAACCCCTTTTTAATATAACTTGATAAACTCTTGAAGTCATCATATTCTAGTATACTTCTATATATTAATAGTTGAAACCGATAATATAATTAAATTAACCGCTACAGATACTTTAGAATTTTCTTTAGAATCTAAGATTAATGAACTTCTAGATAACAACTAAATAGGAATGTGTTCCACGAAGTATATAGTGTATTTATCTAGAGGAGGATCGACTTACAGTCAAATGTACGTAAAGAAACCAGCGCAAATTATTATAAAATATTCAATAGATTGAGGTACCAGAATTTTGCGCTCTTGCTGACCACCTGCTCTTGCAACAGCCGAGGCTCACTTTATGGATGGAGAGATGCATAGGGAACCAAATTTAAACCCAAAGCTATGTAAGTCCTGGTGTATTTACCATTTTCGTCTTGCCGCATGCTAAGCAGTCCATGTGAACCGACCATTTTCGTCCATCTTCCCGCGTTGAATGGCAGAGTATACTAAAAGAATCAACGAATTTCATATCGGGCACTTTCGATGCAGGTAAAGGCAGAGATAAGTTATTAGTGCGATGCTCACGTGTGAAGCGCAGTATGGTAGACAAACACATGAGCTGCTTCCGCTGGCAATTAGCTTTTATTTTGCAATACCGACTTTTTCTCATACGTGCGTCTGCGGCATAACTCTACTCATGAATCACCAAAGTGCCACGATTAATTCCTATTATCAATGCATTCAGGAGTCTTTTCAAGAGTCTTTTCAATGACCACTCAGCTGATAGAATCATTTTATTCTCGGGCACTTGCAACACTTACGCTCGTTTCTTCCAGATGTTGCTTTAGGAGCGAAGGATTAGGCGGAATCGAGCCTCTCGGCTGTGTTAAACTTTCTCTGAATCCGACATTAACATTATCGGACATATTCCGCGTTGTATGAATATTTTGGAGTACATATAGGGCTGAGGAATTATAGCCACAAAGCAGTTCGCTATCTCAAATTGGAAATCCTATGTTCCCAGACTCTCTTAAAACTGCCATGGAAATAATCAATAGAATCTAGGCCTTTTATTTCGCCGGCGTTCCGCTTTTGAAAGTTCCCAAAGTGTAGTGTAAATTTTCTCGAATACTTTGTAGTAGGCCAAATTGTAAGCAATTCGAAAGATGTCTTACTTTTCCCTTCGTTCGATCCCGCCTCCTTCCTGCTAGCAATAGTTTTTCTAAACTTGCAATGTTCTTGGGTTTTCAACAACTTTAAATAATTGCAAGTGTTTGTGCAAAGTTTGAATATGGATGAGAACACCGTGGAAGACCTTCCGCAACAAACTTAGGCTGATCACTGAAGTCATATTCTGCCAAGTGCTGACATGCAGTGTCAATTTCATCCAACATTTTCTACGTTACTTTAGCTTATACCTCAGAATTTTTTGCCGGGTAGAATGGTACCAGGTAAACGCTCACTAAATAGCATAGGTTTAGATGCCATTATTTAACTTAACGAAATCTCAATCTACATAAATACAAACCGAGGAGAATTCCGGGCGTGGATGTCAATGGTAGGAAAACGAGAAAAGGATTGTATCAGTGATGTTTGGTGAAATCTCATATAGCTCATAATTACGTAGAGAGCAGCAAATATGGAATATTTCGATTTTTGGTCAGCATGTTCACCAGACTTCGACGTCTTTGAGGACGTACGACATGGGGAACTGATGGTGTCACATACGATAGCAATTTGGATGATGTCTTGAGCTGAAGGGCAAAAAATAGACCAAGGAAAGATTAATAACCCTTATACGGCAAATTGGTATCACATCATTAGCATATACCTATGGAAATTATCTGAGAACTTGATTGGAAAGTAGCAACTGAATACCTTCCCTTGTACAGAGTATGGATCAATGACTGGCTGACGGAACGCTCCCTCGCTGCGCAGACTGGTCGTCAACCTTGGTTCAACGCCAGCGGTACAGTGGAAGAAAGCCTTGTCTGCCACTCAACGTCTCACTCAATGGCTGGCGACGCAGCCACCATTACTCACCTGCATTTATGATTATTGCAAGCCCGCTCCTTTAATGTGCTGAAACGAATGACACAAACCAAAAAGATATCCTTGGAGCAATTACATTATTTTGTCGAGCAGCATGAGTATGAACTTCAACTTTTCCCCACAAATTGGGCTGGGAATGAATCATGCACTGAAACATACAATCAACGATCGAAAAGTTTATCATGTAGGATGACTCATAATTAATTACTTCGGATCTACAGGCTTGTATCTGACACTTTTTCTCCAAAGTCTTCGCGAATCAAAGTCGTATACTCCTCTTCTCTGCAGCTCTGCAAAAGTTTGCTTGAAATGTCTCGGACACACATCACGTTATAGCTAGCCGATATGAAGCAATCACAGATTTCTTGAAGGACATATTGTGCGAAAGCATCAAAGGGCTTTTGGTACACAGCCATAACAATTCATGCCTGATGCACTGGAAAATTTGGATAAGTAAACCCCTGCTAGTTTTATGTACAATGGTTTGTGGCACAAAGTCAAATGTCAGATGAAGTCTTCTCGTCTTCTCAATTTCAGGAACAGATCCACGTTTTTTTGCCGAGCTGCTGCAGTTCATGGTTCTCAGACAATATCTTGGCAGTCCTTCGCTTTTGTATTTGTTGCACTAGTCTCAGCTCCTCCGAAAGGAGGTCACGAAAATTGTTGTTGTTCTTTCTCATATTGGTCTTAGGGACAGAGTGCTTGTTTCTTCAATACTAACGACTTTCCCATGGATTACTTTGATTGTGATCTTGTTCTTTCTATCTTCATATTTGAGTGAGCTAGTGTGATCGTTACAGGGGCTGAACCAGGCAGAAATTTAGGCCAACGAACGAACCGTATCTTACTTATATTCAATGAGATGAAGGATTTTCCTGAGCTGGATACTATAATGGTTGGTACCGTAAGTCTATGATAATGAGAAACTTAGTTTAATTATAGTGGAATTTAAACATTTGACCTTAGGATTGGTCTTTACCATCAAGATACTTGCCTTTCGCGCCAGCTATTGATCAGGGTTGACTTCACAATTTGGGCTGTGTTAATCCTTAGCTCATTGTGCGTAAGTAAAGTCCATTCGATATAGTTAGTACTGTCTATAGATCGTAGTAATATTGCATCTCCTAAAAGCTCTTTATGCGTAAGAACTAAAGTAGAATCCCAGGCCATGAATATTAAATTGCCTAAGACAAGCTAGAAAACTTTCATCAATATCAATATCACCAGGAGCACTTGAAATAACGCTGACTATTGTTTTCATCAATATGAATATCGTCAAGAACAGTGGAATTAGCGCTGACTGTTGTTTAGTTCCTGTGTTCGAAATCCTCGATATAATACGTTTGAGTATTCAGGCCTGTACAGTCCGACATATCTCCGAAATTAACGAAAATTTATCGGTCTACGATTATCATTGAAACGATTGGCGGATTTGATAAAGCTAAATGTGTTATTAAACGATGAAGAAAAGGAGACCATCGATCTCTTTCGGCACTTTTATGTCTCTACGATAGAGGTCATGATCCAGGATCACTTTCAAAACAGTTTTTATAGTGAAGATAAATCAAAACTGCTGATTTTTACTTCTCCCTTCGTGGCTCTCAACTGTACGCATACTATAGGTCCATGAAGCCCTGCTTTTCTGCTTTTCGAGTTTACGCTGCACTGTGAGCGTTTATGCGCACATATTCTCTTGGGGGGGCGTGCGCACCTTAAAAGCAAAGTCAAACGAAATGAAAAGAACGCTGGAATAGGAACAAAACGTCTGTACAACTTCTTCTTACTCTCTCTCAATCAAGAACACTTTCAATTCGAGAAGACAATTGCAGTATAAAAAGACGTGGGCCGCATTGTGGCAAATAAATCAACGCTACGATTACTACATCTCAAACAGTTCGAGACCATCGGAGCTTTTTTCCCGCATACAGAGCTATCCACGAGAGAGACAATAAGACAGGGACCTCCACTAGAGGGCCAATAGTTGCTGCGAGTGCTTGATTTGATCCTGCTCCATACACCGACACGGATACGGCAATGGCAAGCTCGAAATTGTTACTTCCCGCAGTGAACGCCTGTACGACAGCCATCTGGTAGCCCCAATTCGCGTGTCCATAACGTATACTGAAGTACCATACCGAAAAAAAAGCGATGCTCCACATGATTGCAAAGTACAAAATTAATGGTACGAAAGTGCGAAAAGTAGGCCCCAAATTATCCAATATGTGTCTTGCTTGCTCGGCAAAGATGATGATTATAGTGTAGAGCAAGCCTACAAGCGAGAGAGGACCAAAGAATGGCAGGAATTTTTTCTCAAAATTGGTGCGACCCACAAAGGCAATGAGGAAGAAACGAGTGGAACCACCCGCAATCAGAGGTATGCCGAGGTAAATCAAAACGGAAATCGCAGTGTCTGCATAGTCGAGTGTAAAGTTTCGAGAACCCGAGATCACGTTGATAAACCAGATACAGTAAGGAGCATATAAGACAATTTGCAATATTGAATTCAAGATAACTAGAATTGCGCAAACGTTCGGGTCACCGCGTGCAATCTTGTTCCAAATCATCACCATGGCAATGCAGCGAGCCAAGCCAACCATAATGATGCCAATCCGATACTCTTCCAGGTCTGGCAATGTTGCCCAAGCTATACCCAACATCAAGAAAGGACCAAGAATCCAGTTCAGCAATAGAGACATGAAAATTTGCAACCAAATTTTCGAGCCCCTGAATGTCGTTCTGAACGTCTCGTACGGCACCTGGATGACGGATGAGATGAGTGCTCAATAAATGACAGATCGCACCAAGACGTCATCACAAACCACCTCGCAGAACTCACCTTTGTTAAAATCGGCCACATCATAACGATCAGACCAACGACCAGAGGCGCTGACACGCCATTGAGATTGCCTTTATTCAAATGTTCTCTGACATTTGGCGCAAACACACCAATGACAACACCTAAAATCATCGCCAAAATGATGAACAATGAAAGAAATCGATCGAGCCAACCCAATCCTGATAAAATGTTCTTTGCTGTGAGGTTGGAAATGTCGCTCTCTTCTTTCATCTCTCCACTGGACGGCACGCCACCAACTTGTTTACACGTTTGCATTCTTCCTTCGCCACCTTCATGACCCTCGTCCTTCGTCCGCATGTTACTGCTTTCCATTTGACGGCTTGTATGATAGGCTAGTAGGTCGAAACTGATGATCGGTGAGGCTAAGCTCTTCTTGTTACGCAGAAACGAGCCGTATTTAACCTTTCACAAGTAGTCAGAAAGTAGCCTCAAGAAGACAAGTCATCCTTATAGATTGCCAAAAGCAGTCGAAGAATGCGAGAAAGAAGATGAAAAAGGTGATAGCAATAATTTGAAATTCTCTAGGATTAAAAATGTTTGGGCATAAGCACCCGCCGAGCACAACTGCAAAACACTGTTCTGGCGACAGCTATAGACTTGTCCGTCCGTGTAAGGGAGGAAGCTGAATTCGATTAATACAATTTGAAATTATACGCTTTTGCCGCGTTTGAATGGAAACTGATTTCAAATTTCTGCTGATTCGATAGAGCGCGTCGCAAAATCTCGCGCTCTACAACGCTAAGGCTCAGTACGACTTTAAAATGCTGTGGAGAAGCACAATGCTAAAAGTACGTGCGCAAGAATGGCCAGAACTGTGTCTAGTTCCCCAATCTCATTTTTTGTTTTGACAATAGGTGATCGAGTTACGTGCAAATCACAACGCTTGTTCCTTGATTCCCGCCGAGAGTGTTTGTGAGAGTGTTTGTGAGGAATTTCCTTCCACCTGAGTTTTTTGCTTCAACTTCCAATGCCTCAACCACCAAGGTACAGTTTATCATGACATCAGAACACCCTATTGACAGCAAGAATTGGTATGACGTGTACGAAAAAGCGAATGAACGTGAAACGGAGCTCCCCCTGATCACTGTGCAAGAGCTTGCGAGTCTACAAAGCGGAGGACAAGCTGGAAAAGATTTCCTTGTCATTGATGTTCGTCGAGCCGATTGCTCTGTGAGTCTGCAATTTGTGAAAATGGAAATAAGAGTGAATACCGGCTGACTTCGCTTTGCGTACGTCGACAGAACATGATACCCGGCGCCGTGAACTTTCCAGCGCAATCTCTCCATGTCAGCTTGGAATCATTGACAGTTGCACTATCTCACATACCCTTCTTTATCTTCCATTGTAGCAAGTCTGTAGGACGAGGGCCCCGCGCAGCTCGTTGGTTTGTAGAAGCTCTTCGAAAACAAGAGCGTGATGGAAGTTTTGGCCGCGAAAAGCGCGTCGCTATATTACAAGGCGGTATCCTGCGGTGGGAGGAGGTTTATGGAAGCGGTAGCCTTAAGGCCAGAGGACAAGCAAATGGCTTGAAATCGATTCAGTTGTAGTCCTTTTGTTTTCATGACACCTTTTTCGTAGACAGTTCCTTCGACGTATGCCTCCAAAAAATAGTGAAATGTTTATAGAATGGACATACTATGGAAGATCCCCTATTCATAATGACAGATCGTAAATGGCCTTGCTGAATTGATTAAACCTTAGATGAAACCATAACAATCCAATGCCCTCGCGGCTCAGCGTAATTACAAATTCGAATTGCGAGAGCATATCTCAGCATTTTTGCTACATTCAGACCTCAGCACCTGTCCTAAAGATCCAGCTAGAACAGCAGCTGCAAAATGCACGACATATGCAGGAAAAGATTCGGAAATCATAGTACATTTTTGTCACGCTAAACCATCTTCAAAAACCACCTAAGGCACTCAACCAAACATGTAGACGGAGCTTCACTTCAGAAATTAGCGGGAACTTCAATAAGAAAGAGATGATAGAACTCAGACGATCTCTTGCTGCTTTGCTTCAGCGGCAATACTCTCTTCGACACTGCAATCGAAAAATCCAGCGCAACATTTGCTGGTATCTCCGCCAAGCTGTGTCAGGGCTTGATCCCACTGCTGCTCAGTCAATTGTGTTTCTTTCGTTAAATTTATTTCCGGAGCCCGATTCGTGTCACTTGCAATCCGAGGTAGGTTCTCGGTATCAAGGGCATCTCCGCCATACAAGAGAGGAGCACCCTCTTGATCGTTTTCGCAAAAGTGCGGTCGCAACCTTGTTTCATTAGACGAGTAGACCTTTGGCTCACCAGCTGGTAATTCTGGGCGGATGAGGTTACTTGCTATTTGAGATGCACCATTCAGAGCATGCAGCTGGTAGAAAATTATGAAGGTAAAATAGATTGGTCAATTGCGTCTGTTCAAGAAAAAGTGATTGAGGCAGAACGTACAACTTTTCCTATTTCTAATTTGACTCGAGCACATTCTTGACAGGCGCTTGTTGTAACGTCTGCTATTTAAAGTGATAAAGAGAGGTGAGTGATCTCTTCATGATAAGCTGAAAGCTTGAGTTGGCCCTTGCCGAAGATGAGACATACTTTTGGTACATTGATCAAGCCTCGCACGTAGGGAGGCATTATCTATCTCGAGTTGGTGCACTTTGGCCTCAAGACTTATTATGAGACATGCTCGACGATTCCTAAAAGCTCGAGAATTTTGAAGTTGTCTTGACGGATTGGCACTCGGATCCTCACGTCGACCGCGAGCCATCTCAAATTAGTTTCTAAAACCCTGGTCGTCAGGATGCGTTGGACTTCTCAATACATCAATGGTGGAAGTAAGAAGGCTTGACACATGTGGAAAATACTTGCGCAGTGCGTAGCTCGATAATCAAAGCTCTGCAATTTACGCCTTGCAGTATAGGGTGCGGGAGCTATTTGCGTTGGAACGCGCTACACTCGTCAGCACATTTGGACATGACAGACAACCAAAATCTTCTTCGAGACGGTTCCCATCCCCTATCATACAGCTCTTAATCATCCTCTTCAGAAAGCAGTACTTTTACACGCGAACAAGCGCCTCTAAGTTTTACCGCAGAGCTTCTAATAGCGTATGCACCGAGAATTCTCCTGTACGTGCTTATTCTAAGCACACAAACCTGTCAGTCTTCGAAGAGCAAGAGACATGTCCATCTATCTCGGAATGGGCAAAGGATGTGAAATCACTCGCTTCCCAGTGTGGAAAGAATCCTCCTTCTCGAATTATCAGAGTGTTCAAGGGTTTGTGATTTTCGAGAAAGCAACAACTAGAAAGATTCTGAGCTCGATCCGCGTGTCTCACACAATTTCAAATTTTATCTTCAGCATTTTTCTGGGCGCAGGATGGAGTACGAAACTTGCTTTAAGCAGCAACTGGCAGAGACCAGTGACACGGTCTCGTGGAGGCTATGCATGAGTCAAAAGCTAATTCATCAAAGTCCTTTTCAATCACCTAATTCTTGTAACTCTCTTTCCGTTCGCTGAAGCGATCGCCTAGTATCGCTTGGTGGTCTTGCAAAATACAAGAGATCTTCACCAATTCTTCTACGACATCCACGAGACGGCTTCTGTTTGACGAATTGGTAAGTCTACCTTCTGCGGTGAATTGAGTGTATGCTTTTGGTAACGAAGCTTGATTGGGAATGGTGAACATCCTCATCCATCGGCCAAGTATGCGCATTGAATTCAAAGCATTGAAGGACTGTGAACCACCGCTCACCTGAGCAATTGCTAGAACTTTTCCTTGAGTAGGGCGTATAGCCTGACTGCTTAGGGGAATATGGTCGATCATTGTCTTCATAATACCTGTCATATTGCCATGCTGCTCTGGAGAACACCAGAACTGCGCTTGGCTCCATGCGATACAATCGAGAAGCTCGTTTACTTTCGGATGCGTCGATGTGGAAATGCTAGGATCGTCCCGGAGCGGGAGGCCCCTCGGATCATAGACGCGAACATCACACCCAAGATAATGTAAAAGCCTTGCAACTTCGAAAGACAGCAAGCGAGAATAAGATCTGTTTCATTCAAGATGCGTTTGAGCGCTCAGCCAGCCGTCTACAGTGACATCGCAATAACACAGACTACAAACTTACTTTTCCCTATTTGACCCGTAAAGAACTAGAACGCGAAGTGGGTTTGCGAGATTTTCTTGCATCACCCTTGTTTTGGCAAGCTCATCGTTGCCTTTCTCACTTGCAATTTTATAGCACCAATCATTATCGAGTGACATGTCCACATTTTTCAAATTTTGCAAGAAGATCTTATGTTCGCTGCGATCATCCATTATTGAAATCCGAGAGAATGTATGAAAAGATCTTGTAGATCGAAAAGGAAAACGAAGAAAAAGACTTGCGGACATGAAGTACCCCTGTGGGAAAAGGAATTACGGCGAAAGGAAGTTGAGCCAATTTATAAAGAGGTTACGGACCGTGATGATCAGATCGACCCTGTGCCCAGCTCGCACTGAACTTTGATTTATTCCAGAACGGGGGCGGCAGCGCCGACCTAAATTTGAAATTGCGCAAAGGTGAATCCTGTGACTTTGCCAACATATCAAATTTGTACAATTTCAAATTGAAAACGAATTTTTGGGGCATGAGATGTTCCCTTAAATTTTTTTCTAACCTCTGCATTCACAATAGCTCTGATTTTCCTGCAATCTTTGCGTTCACAATAGTTTTGACTAGCTTTGAAGAAAAATTCTTTGGAGTGATTGTCAAATTAAAGTTGGTGTTCTTTTTCTCAGATGGAAAATCGTCGCTAGTCTATTTCACGACTAGTTCTTTCACAATTCAAACTGCTGCGTCTCTTGGAGTTATACATATTCCATTTCGATGACATTCGTTAAGCGGAATCGCATGCGACAGAGTTTCTTCAGCGGCCAGGCTTGTCTGAAATCCTGTCAAAAATCTCGACGACCCAGAGTATTTTCTCATACTTGTAACAGATGAAAAGATGGCTTGCCATTATCATTTCTTGTTGAATGTCTTCTCCCAACACAGTCGCTACTCCTGCTCACTCATGAGCCAATAGCGAAATGTAAGCTGGCCTGCCGTTTTGCTAGTTCCGAGAGATCAGTGGATACACTTGATCTTATTTATTAGCGTTTGTTTCACTCTTATCTTACCGGATGGTCACGCATAAAGTTTTCGTCCTACTTAACAGAACTTCAGGCGCTTTACAGACGCAGATCTGGTTCAATTTTACGTCAATTCCAGCAAAAATGCGATGAAACGTTCCAAAAAGTATTTAAAAGCCATTTCCTCTCAAATGTCAGATTTTGTGCGGTTTAAATTGTTGTGAAACTAAACCGCAATTACATAATTGATATTATTCATATACATTAGGAATATCAGAACTACTACATGCGCTCTTTTATTCGGACGAAATGCATCTATCTTATCGCAAAATCTTCTGCTAGGCCTCAAAACTAGTTAGCCTTTAAATTCCCAAACTATTCCCTCCTACACTCAGACAGATCAAATGTTTATTACACCACTTGCAAATTAAACAACTCTATATCGCTGAAATATTAATGAAATATTTTCATCGGCTATATCTTCGACATATCATGTATATTAGCCATGTCGTAGCTCTTTAAAATGATTAAGTATAAGAAAGCGGTGTACCAGAACGATGAATCCATATACTACTAGCTCGGAATTCAAGGTTTCTCAGAATTACTTAAATGTCATAGTAGTAATCTCAAATATATAATCGCCCGATATCTCCCAGCCTTCAATTGACACGAACATGCAAAGTAAATTTAACACTGATCCTACATCATATGAAAGTAAGAGATGAAAATTATAGATCAAAATATGATGTTTCATAAACGTCTCAGAATTCCAAATTTTAAGACATGAAGTTCGAAGCTATGACAGACGCATGGTAAATGTAATCCTAATTAGAGCTTTCGAAGAAGGGATGAGTACAGTGTAAAGTACGGATGGATTAGAATAGCAGGAAGTATCTATATAGTATTGCCTTTTACGGCATATGACAGCATGTTGCAAAATACTGTATACGATGTGCGTCAGGCTTTCGTCATCTTCTCCGGATGTGATAAGTGGAGAAAGGTATTGTTTGCCGATTTGCTCCCTTGCTCCATCTTTACGCATAAATTATTCTGCAGATGAAGAGCAGATACTCGCTTGTAAAAGTCGTTCGACCCTATGGGCCCTGACAGCATATTTTATGTAATTAAAGGGACGGCTATTGTTCCGCACGGAAAAGGAAAAATCAAAAATTGGCGCTACATGTTTTCCAGATCTTCAATTTTCTCCCAAGAGCGTAGCTGCTGGAATTTCTAGCCATTTCCTCAAGCGAAACACATCGCTTCGCCGCAGAAAAAGGTCGGAGCTCTGCAGTGAAAGAAATTTAAATAGATTGGAACTTCAAATAATTATTTACGATTTTCTTATAGGCATCCTAGTTGGTTGGAGGCAAAAAGCGAACGTTCCCGCAACAATTTTCCTTTCCACAGAAGTAGATAGGGCGCAGACGCAAGCACCAGTGCACAAAAACCCAACAAAGATGACGCCCACGGAAATGTAAGAGTATGATACATTTTGTCGGCAATGAGAGGGAGTGCTGTTGCAAGGATGTTGCGCAATAAACTTTGAGCGGCAGTGGCAGAAGATGTGTATGAGCCATAGCAATCTGCAAAGTAATCAAATACGCAAATATAAACCAGAAATAATCCAATCATGATGACGGATGTTCCAATTTGAGGAAGAATCCAATGAATTTTGTCAGGCTTGGCTGTCCATGCGAAAAAACAAACCCTACCGGAAATACTATTGCCCCGACACATGCTTCAAATAATCGTTGTTCAGGCTTTGTGACCGGTTTTCGCGTACGTAAGATAAGTATATGCAGAGCGAAGCCTATCAATGCGCCAATGCCAATGCCTGCGAACGAGAGGCCGCGCGACTTGTTATCGTGTGTGAAATCATAAGGCGCGAACACCATTGGTACTGATTCTAAGAATAGGTAAAGCGTTCCCCATGCAAATGCGATCCATAAGCTGAGCATCAGAGTGATGGGCTCTGTTGCCAGAAAGAAAAGAGGCTTCAGCATACGTTTTGAATTTCTCCCGAAGCTCGAGTTCTGATCAGCTTCGGCAGACATTTGCATTTGACGGATTTTTTCTCGCATTTCTCTTGTTAGACTCTCCTGCCGAAAGAACAAAAGTATGACAAGAAATGAAGGTGCAGCTAAAATGAGCACAACCCAGAAAATCCATCTCCATGACGTCAACCCACCTGCCCATGAAAAGCCTATCAAGCCCATCGGTGTACCCAGCAAAGCGCTCAAAGCGAATAATGCCATCGGTACTTGACGCTCTTCAGGTTCCCAAATATCCGAAAGAGTTCCGCCTACCATCGTTGAACCTGCAGAGCCCATAGCTCCGCATATGAAGCGAGAAATTAATACTGTTTGTATATTCTTAGCTAAAGCATTCGGTATGAAAGAGAAAAAAATAAGGCAAATGTGATCACGTACACCGGTCTTCTTCCAAATTGTTCGCCCAATGGAGCCAAAATGGTGGGAAAAATGGCAACAGCAAAGGTAAAAAAGGAAATTCCACTGACTTTTAGAAGTTGGGAAGAATGCAGATCAGCTTGAATGCCATCCATCGCTTGGGAATAGGCAGAAGCAGCAACGGAAATCAAAGATGACATGTAGCAAGCTGTGATTGTTGCTTTCCACTTTTTAATTCTATTCCAGCTGCGCGTATTATTTTGGTCATATTTCCATGCAATAGATCTAGACTGATCAATTCTGCTCTCAGGCATTCCATCACCGTTTGAAATGATGGAATTTGGTGATAGCGCTCTGAGTTTCACCATGTCGAATAGAAGAGATTGTCGCAAGGCTGATGATATCCTCTGCCTTGTTTATCGGATTTTTGTTGCAGAAATTGAATGGTGTATCACAAATCCAGATCTGAAAACAAAGTGAGTACCCAATTCGAAATCGGCTGCAGAAAGCGCACTAAGATCTGTTCCGGTCTTAAGCAGCATAGATAGAAAAGAGTACTGTGGGCTTCTTTGCACATGTACAACGTTGCCTGCATCCAACCCGCTAATCATCCTATCCCTGCTCTTGTTGGTGAACAGGGCTAAAAATACTGGCTAGGTTATTGTTGATTTTTTCTGAGCTCACGTGTCTCACACAATTTCAAATTCTATCCTCAGCATTTTTCTGTGCGCAGGATGGAGCACAAAACTTGCTTCAAGCAGCATATTGCTAGATCCGGCAAAGACCAGTGACACGGTATCGTGGAGGCTATGCATGAGTTAAAAGCTAATTTATCAAAGTCCTTTTCAATCACCTAATTCTTGTAACTCTCTTTCCGTCCGCTTAAACGATCGCCACAAAAGTATACAGGAAACTGTTGCCATGCTGTAGGCTTGGCGTACGCATGGTGCTTCCTGACAGGCTGAAGAAGCTAAACGCGGATTTACACCAAGTACCACGGGCGAGATTTTGGCCATTATCGTCCCAGAACCAAAGCAAACTTGCTGCAAGTTGATATAATTTTCATAGGTGAGTGAGAAACAAAACGCCTTGTAGAAACAACACGACTCAAATCCGAGTATTACCGTCCCGAATAACCACCGAGGTGAATTATGAATTTTGGTATGCACTTAGTGTTTGCAAAATTGAAATATTTTTTCAAACATATGCTTAATGTGGTTGTAAACGTACAAAGTCTAAATCGGAGTACATGCCAAATAAGCCCATGACTATGCGGCCTAAGTCCTTGTTATCATGCTCGATGTCAAAATATACCTTGACTGTGACGGGTATATCATCACTTGCACTTGCAATGGATGTGAGGGAAGTCATGAATTGTGAGAATTAGGAGCCAAAAGTTTGCTAAGGAACATTGGTCTGCATGATGATAGCAATCAATTTAATCTGGCCGATAAGAGAGGGTGATTAAAGTCTGATAGTGATCACGATCGATTCAATCTGGTTTACGAGGTAAGATGATCGAAGGAAGGGGAGGTTTTAGATCTCTTCCTATTCGTTTCAGCGAATACCTTCTAACTCGCGTGGCAGCGCACGCCACTGCAGATAGGCCTAGTTGCTTATATGTATTAAGATGTATGTATGCAAGTCAACCTTGGCTCACGTTCTCCCGCTTCACGTAAACGAGCTTGAGCATCTAATCAGTTTAGTGCTACGCGGCGATAAGAGATCGCTGTCTCGTCTTTCCCCAGGTCCTACAATCTTAGCTTCTCCGTGACGATAGAGGCGCGGCAGGACACCTATAAGGATGGAAAACTTGCAGCACGCAAGAAGTTTTGACAAACCTGACATAATTTCCATGCAAGATACATTCTTGCAAGCGCGACAAACCCTACAAGTACGATCACAAGTACGTTACATTTCGCATGGTGCAGTAGAAAGTAAGTGATATAATGTGTGACCTCATTCGATTGTCTGGCTGTTATTGATGAGTGTATTACCCTTTCTGCGGAAGAAACGGTAATGTAGGGAAAAGCTCAGCAAAAATTTATGTAGTGCTCGATCACTACATGTTTGAGATGAGTCAAACGAGATGCTAGCCGAGCTTCGTTTGGGCCCTCAACAATACCAAATGCATCCTATCTACAGCGGAAAAGATCGAACCAGCCTTGCTATTGGCTTTCCTCAAGCTTGGGTGGGAGGGCCTGGCAAACTTTCCCCCACATTGGGACGGATGCGAGGCCAACCGTACTTCAGCATTATTGATCCCTGCGCAAGTCAATTAGCCACCCAATTTTCTATGCTTCATAATAGCTGCGTTTGCCAACCCACGACTTTCACTGAAGAAAAAGCTTTCCGTTGTCTTACCTATTCCAATATCTTATTCATTACGGTTGGAATGTTATATTTGACCTCTGGTTCTGCGTCTTTGTGGCTAATATAAAGTAGGGCTTTATTTCATACTTTCTCCGTCGCGATGCTTTTCCTATCCTCTATGTCACGAAGAGTAGAGCTGAAGTATTTTGCGTGTGCCGTTTCGTGAATGAAGAATTCTTGAGATTGCACGTATTATCGTGTAGAATTTAGTAACTTTGCGATTGATGGAAGTATGATCACCGTTGCTATAAACGTTAATGGGCCTGGTCTCCAAGACCAAAAGCTTACACGTCACCCAGAAAACAAATATTTGTGTTCATACTACAGGATGCCACAAATTTTGATGCTCAAAAGTACTGAAAGAAAGATTTAGATGAGTACGGCTCAGTAGGCATTCTGATCAGGTTTGGTAGGAAAGAATTTTGTAAACAAAGTACAGAAAGTTACTAACTTTACAAGCTTTATTTAGATGATATTCGCGGTTGTTAATCTTTCCTCAGAAGTACTTACAGACGCCGTGTCTCTGTGCTTAAAAATCAAATTTAGACTTCGGTCATTTTGCGTACCGCCACCATTCTACAAGAACAAAGCAGATAAGCACCTCGGAACGATCACACATTTTGCCGCAAACTCCGCTTCTGTATTTTCGGAGAAATCTACCAAAACATCACAATTATAGTCTAAAATTGGCGGAAGACTTAGGTCCAATATTATAAATGAAGGTGAAGCTTGTCGACTTTCGAAATTTTATTGTATTGTAGATGATCTCATTGTCATCTTGAAAATGTGGAGGAAGAATGCTGAATGAGAGCTTCTGCGATATAGGGTCGGAATAGGAAATTCCGTAGCGCTTAATAGAAATTATCTCCGTGAACATGCCAACACTTCACCTGCTATGTTACTTTCACCTGATGAGATAGTTGTACTCAACATCAAAACTTGCGATATAATGATATTCTTCAAGCTCGTCGCGCTCACAGCGATGTCGGATGAGCATCAACGTGACCCCATACATTGCAGTATTGAAATAGATCTACAGGTTAATACGTCTCTTTTGGCTTCAAACGTAAAATTCCGAAGGTGATGCTTCTCATGGAAAGGGTCAGGAGGAGGCATTTAGCGGGGCAAGTTTCTTTTCCTGCCATCGCATGATACATTATGCTGCTCCCAGGTGGGCGACTTCACAAAAGCAGAGTTTCTGTGAAGATTCCCTCTGCTTGTTAAAAGGCATGCATGCCAAGCGCACACAAGAACACGCATATATATATATATACTGCAAGTTAGATCAGGTATTGCAGTATTTGAATCGTTTCAGCGGCGAACAGACTATCACCAGGAACATGATCACAAGGACGAGTGAATGCTCATCATTCTATTCGGAAAATTTTATGGGTTGAACCCAATACTGCAAGTAATGATCGAGGTTATCGTTGCTCCAATGATTTGGGATAACAAGCTCGAATTTCCCACTTTCGCTCCTTTTTCACTTTTCTTGAGATCTCTTGTCGCATAATCTTTATAATAAGCAAGTTTAGATAGAATTCAGAAATTTCCATTCAAATTTGCAAAATTTGGCCAACGAAAACCAAATATTATGGTTGATGCTAAAAATGTTGGAAGATTTTCTAATCATTGTTGGTGAGCGCGTTGAAAACAATCGAATTTGTGTTCGATAGTACCTTCTTTAATATCATTTACGTGTAAGCTGTTAGGAAAAAGAGAAGATAGGATAGAATATTTTATCAATTTTAATGTATAAATAGGAGTATCTTGCAAAACGCACTGAGGATAAAGAACTTTTACAATCTTTCTTGCTTCGCCCACAGATAGATATTGAATTTCATGTAGCCATAGACTTGATGCTACTAAAAACTTGAAGTGAGAGGCCTCAGAGAGGGCGTTCCATTCTTGTTATTCTGGTAAGAGGAAAGTGTTAGCTTGTACAAGGTAATATAGAGGTAGAGCTTTTTGATTTTATAATTATACTATCCTTGATACAGCGCTTTCTTAAGCTAACAATTTTTGAGTTCTATGCGACGCGCGTCTTTCGCAATGAAAGAAACATTTGCACCTTTGCATGTTCCTTTCGGTAAAAATTGGTGATTCGATATATGTATATACCTTATGAATATTGTAACTACATTCACCCCTGATTGATCAGCTAACGCATCGAATAAAAGTATGCGCAACAGCTAGCAGCACAGACACATCAAAGTCGACCTATCGTTCCCAAATTTTATCTTCAAAACACGACGCCATTCCTGCTTGACTTTGATAAACGTTATGTCGCCCAAAAAAGATAATTTCATTAAAATGGGAAGTTAACGACAGAATGATCAACTCGAAAACACACGGTGTTGTGAGGATATGGGAACTTGTTGATCAAATTTGTCAATCACTGTGGCAACAGATCTTTTTTGCAAGGTGAATTGAACTTTTCTCGGGTGTTGTCGAAAGACATCAATTAGCTTCTTCAAAGACAAAATTCCAAATTTAGCAAAAGGCATCACCGCATCCAAATTTATCTTCTTGGCCGCCTGCTAGATTGTTTGGAATGTAGTTCAAAAAGTTCATGACACGGAGTCATATGACAATGGAAATTATCTCGCAAATCTTTTGGCACGTAGAGAGTTTGGACCAAATAATAGGAAAGAAACTTTAATATTTCCCAGCTGTAAGCGCTTGAGATAGACGACAAATCAAAGAATAACAACCATTACAAATAGCCTGACGATGGAATTAAAAGCAAAACTCATTCCTAGTGGCGAGAAAATTCTTGCCATCTTTCCATGTCGAGAGCAGAACACATCAAGAAGAAGCAGAGAATCGCTCTTTCAAATGTGCCCGAATATGTCATGTTACTTTGTCCTTGTATCACGAAGCACAGCGCTCACCACCGCCACTTCAGAGCATCAGCAGCAGACCGTTCTCACAACAACGATCGGATCTGATGTGTTGAAGTACATTTCTTATTTCATTCTATGGCAACTACACCAGGTTGTTTCATTCCTCAAATACCACAAGTTTCAGATATAGTGCCTATTGATAGATCGATGAATAATGCTGAAGTGGGGTAGTACGGCAGATGTTCAAGCTCATTTCCCAACGTTCCTTAGTAATCACCCTTTCCCATACGCGATGTTCCAACTTCAGCCGATTCAAAGATGTACTATACGCACCGGGTCACTATAAAGGTCAAGTCACGACAATTTTCTCTTCTAGCCAACGCTTTAGACCACATTGTAGCTTTCTTAAGCAATCACTGATTAAAAGATGTCTAACATGCGGACCTAAATTGCATCCAGATCAAGAACGTAAATAAGATTTTATGCCTACTTTTCTTCCAAATTTGCAGCTCATGCCCAATTTCATACCCCAATTTACAACAACAGCAGTGGTGAAATCAGTACGATGTGGTTGTGTAAAAACAGCATCAAATCCTTCCTTTTTCATCATGTACACTCTTCCGATCATCCCTCCATTTCGTTATATTACAGTCCTTCTGAGCTTAGCATCAGCTTGTAGAGCATTTTGATACAAAAGCATATGACAGCGATTAGAAATAGAGTACATGAAGAACAAAGCACACCTTTTGTGTCATCCTGGTATATCGCGCTCTGTTCGGTGCAGGAATTCTGTGTCCCTAGTTTTCCTGACAGCAACAAACGTGCAATGTTTATTAGTCGATTATAAATCTCGCAATCTCGCAATCATTCCTCTTGAATAGAAGTCCGCACGCGAGTCCAACAACTCCGCTCCTAATTCCCGGGAAGTACAATAATTAGTTGGTGCTTCCCAGCCTACGTTCCGCCCGTACTTTGTTATCGGGTATCTAGCTTCTCGACAAAAACTCCCACAGCAAACATAGTGATTATGAATCCTTACATCTCAAAAACACGCCTGACAAATCCGATGCGCCTGTATTTCGATCGACAGTCACGCTCCACTCTACTGTCCGACTCCATAGCAAATCATCACACCAGGGTCGGAGAGAATTCCAGCGACGAGAAGCGTACCGCCACCAACAGTGACATCCATTGAGGCGCCTGCAGCTGCAGTGATACCGACAAGCCCAAAACCGTAGTGAGGCGCCGAGAGAGGGGTAGGTTTGTGTCCTTGATATAGAGTCTTAATTTCATAGCGGTCATGTAGACCTAGTAGTCTCTCTTGCACAGGCAATGGTGCATTGTCTTCAGTTCTTTCAACGTCCTTTGCTTTTGGTGTGATTGCAACCACCCAGGATGGTGACGCTCTAGACATGTTTTTTGGATCTTTCGCAAACCTCACCATCATTGGACCACTGATAGCACCAGTAACGAGAAGTTGAGATCCATTGCCAAAATAGCTTCTTTCTCCTTGCTCCGACGCAACAAGATTTCGTGAAAATGCGATGTTGTCAGCCATGTTTGGGGTGAATATGTAATCTGTGATGGTCCATTCGAAGCCTTTACTTGTATGCTGACGTTCGTAGAGGAGAACGCCAGGCATCATTGTCGAGGCCACGGCCACGATCTCACCGTTCGGGCTTCTGGCAATTCCATTCGCAAATGCGATACCGCGATCGAAAAGAGAGACGGAAACGCGGTCATGATCCTCTTCAATCTGCACTCGGGTGACAAATCCGGTTCGTAATCCCAGAATTGTTTCGATTTTAGTCAGGTAGCCGCGCAGAATCGGAAGTGATGCAAAGCACGTCAAAGCGCTCCCCATTGGCTCACCATAGAGAAATGAATATATTTGACGAAGCTGCGAGAATGGCCTGGCGCGGAGAGCAAAAAGATGATCTTGTGTGACCAGGATGTCATTGTGGCTGAGGGCGGTAAGAGCGTTGGGCTGAAGTGCGGCTAAAGGGTGATCAATAGTGCGTATGTAACTGGCACTCCATTCGGATGCTTTGAGAGCAGGATAAAGATCAAAGACTTCTATTGCAGACCATTTACCAGAATGATTAATCACAAACAATCTAGCTGGCTTCCTAGTTTCTTCGTTTGCACTGTCAACAGCCGGCACTGCATCTGCACCAATCGGATGGAAGTCGAACTCTTTTGGAAAGCCGTCGAGCCGAAGCAAGGCTGGGAGCTCAAACGACTTGTTTCCTTCGACATGCCCTTCAGCCGCAGCCTTGTAATTGTACATCCACAGGGCACCCCTAGGATGAGGGTCCAGTACAGGTCTGCGATACAATCGTATACAAATTAGTAAGAAGGCCACAGCGTAACTACGATCTCGGCTTACGCCCACTCACCCAAGAACGGTATTCCATTTATTACGGCCTGCATCACAGCTGAGTATGGCCCATCCTTCGAGTCCTTCCCCATGAAAGATTTCCAAATCCTCGCAGAATGCAGTTCTCTGCCTCGTGGGGTCAATGCCTGGTGCGCGATGGTATATATCAGGTTGTTCGACATCCAGGTCGAAACAAAAAGGCTCCGCTCCGGTGTGTTCGCTTCTCACCCAGTGCGACGGTATGGCAGAAGGTGGTAATGCTAATGTCAAGCTCTAAGATCCGTAGACAGCGGCGAACAACAGTGAGGCTGAGAATAACACCATGGTAATCGCGTGCTTCACGGAGATTTCATTGACATCATTTTGTTCCCGGTGTTCTTTTTGCCCAATTTTGCGCCACTTACTTAACATATTCCTATGCACTTATGAAATGAAGACGGCAGACAGGTGGATTTCAACGTTGTGTAGGACAAGGTAATGCTCGAAGATTTGGGAGAGGGGAGGTGAAGTTAGGCAGGCCTCTTATAGGTTCTGTGGCCTCTGTGTGAGCTCAAGCTATTCTTCACATTCTCCCATGCTAACGAACACAAGCTGGCCTTTTGACCCTGCAAATTTTGAAAAGAGTATTTGTATAAATCAACTCTGATATACTATCCGCTTATGTCCGCCGATCATGCGCGGGTTCTACTTTTTCTGATGTATTATCCCGAAAAAGAGCATTGACATACCGAACTTCAGCGCCGAGCATGGCAAGTTAGTTAAGTTTAGGCATCCACGCGTTCTACTAAGCGTTGTGCAAAACACATTCAGTTTTTAGGTTTAGGCAATCATACAGAATTAGTGCCTTCTAAGCATGTGGACAATTTCAGTCTTTATTTGTCTCTTCAGCACAAGAGTCTCACCAATTCAAGCATTTGATAGTCTCATAATTGTCTGCCAGTCCGATAATACTTGTAAAAGGACTGCAGCTAAGATCTTCTCCGTTCACTGTCAGCTTATTATATTATGAACATCCTGCATCATGAACAAGAAATTCGCTAGCCCTCAGAAAACGTGCCCGACTTCACTCAGGCCAGCATGGTGGACTGTAGAGCCAGTCTGTACGTTCCTCTTTGTTTTTCTTGTGCTCGAGACGGTCTTCATTCAAATGCCCCTTCGAATAGTCGCATTTAGCTTAGCGCCGCAGATCTTTAAGCCCACCATTCGATGGTCACTAGCAAAGGCATTACTTATCAGTTCGCTGAAGCATCTTTTCCATTATCGTAGTAGTCTCGGCAAGACAACTGGTTGGGTGGATAAAAGCAAGCTACCTAGATTTTCAGGAGGACAAAGAGCTAGGGCAATTTGGATCAACCCCATCAATGGAGCGGAAAAGCTGTCTGGTAGAATCCGACAGCTCTATATCGCTGGTGGCTGCACCGTCGCACATTTTCCGGCGTACTGGGTTGGAGAGTTGAGCTTCGGTCGAGCAAAGCTACACGAGAAGGTGTTGCTCTATTTCCACGGCGGAGGATACCGTGCGCTGCGCTGCGCAACACAGGGCATTCAGATGATTTCGTTCCGCCGCAAAAAAGCAGGCAAATCGCACACAATTAGGCTAAACATGAACGGGCTAGCGTTATTAATAACTCCGTATAATCCGAGATAATCTATTTCTCTATTGTGAATGAACACGAAGTAATATACGATGTAATTTTGAAAGAAAACACATCCTTCCATGTAAAAAGGATAGAATTTGGTCTAAACAATCTTTAGATCTCTTATAAGCTTAAAATTTGAGTCGTAGAACGATTTTCTTTAAAGCTTTTTCAAAATTTGATTCAATTTTGTAGTTGCAAGTTTTTTTCGTGCGTTCTTCTATCAGAAAGTGTTAAGGAATCATTCAAAAAGTTTGTATCAGAATATAAACCGTCGTTGATCATTTTAATCGGTCTCTTGACCGAAACGGGCGTGAAAGTTGATTGTAATGCAAATCCAAAAGGTCCTGTTAGACCGCATTGATTCATCAATGTGCAAGATTTTGGAATAATGTATAATAATGAGCAGACTTGTTCTACTAATCGCGGTTCATTTTGAACTACATCTAATCGATTAATTGTACTAAGCGTAGTTTGCATCGCAGTTTCGAACATCTTTCCGGTGAAATGATTTACAGCAGGAAATTGATAATGAGAACGTTGTAATGCAATGATCTTTGGTAAATCATTCACTAAACCATAAACTGCATTGAGGGCAACCGAACTTAAATTTGCATTGATTTTTTTGCTTTGTAAACTGCGTGATGCAATCATATTGCGTAAGATATAAGATGAATAACGAGCGGCAAGTTTGGCATGATACATTCTTCCAGCAATGAAATCATGCAAATTATTCCCAATTTCCGATAAGAAAAGATTTGTTCTAAGTAACTGCGTGCTTCCCTCAATTGCACTTTCATCTGTTTCCATCATTTTGATCAATTGCAAAGATTTTGCATCAATGTTTTCTTCAGATTCTCTTTCAATTCCTTCTCTCTCTATTTGATTGATCAAAGCATTCCGAATCCATATGGACGAATGCATTTTCCAAACCCTAAAAGTGTATGTAAATGAATCTTTTTGATTTTTTTCTGAGAGAAGATAGCTCCTAACATCATCAGGCAGACGAGGCATAGACGTTTGAGTACCTGTACTAACACTGATCCATTGGGCTTGACAAAAGATTTCGAAAATAAAGGTTCGAGAAAAATTGCGTTTATGAATTAATTCTTTGCTATAAAGTTTATCGTCATCTGAGAAGTCATCAATAAGATTTGCCAAACGAGCCGAAAGATTGTCTGTTCACTATAATATTGCGCTTCCTTTGGATGTTGAGAATACATGGAAACCCATGCTAAAGCATTATAAACCCTACATTCAAGCAAAATGTTTGTATTATTAATTTCGAAGTACTTTGTATGATTTGTGGCATGCCTCATGAGCATAATAACTTCTTGCATAAAAATTAAAACATTTTCCTTTTCTAAAATTTGCCCTTTTGCCTTGTATATACGCGATGATGGCAAAGCGATTGCACAAATAGCCAATAAAGAATAAATGTATGCCAGTTCAATCGCTCCTGGTACAATGCCGGAATGAATCTTAGCAAGTGTCGATTGGAGTTCCTCTTCATCCACTGATGGCCAGTCATTTGCAAGATCTAAATTTCCACAAAGAGAAAGTGCATGATCAATATTTGATCCCCGTCAAGGATACCGCTAAAACGTTTCTTTAGCATACTTTCACATATCCTCGAGTTGATGGGATCGCCACCCACAATCAGTATCCTCATTTCTCTGCAAAAAATACTGCGCGACTGAATTTGTGACCTAAAGAGGACTTAGCGGAGATAGGATAGAATTGAGGATAAGCTTGAGCTTTTCTTTATGTTGACGCGATCATCGACACCCATTGTGTTGTCATCAGCCTGTATGTGTACAAATCTTTCAGTCGATGTGCCTCTGCAGTACCTTCAACAGCTTTGCTGATATCAGCTCGTGCTACTTTCTCGCATGCCTTTTCTCTTCTCGCAAGTTTTTGATCTGAACGGTCGGATTGAGCAGAGCGCATTTAGCGCGATCGAAAGACGTGCTGTATTTTTCCTTTCCCTTTGAAACGTCAGAAATGTGTCCAACGCGACGATCGGACTGTTTACTGGTCGTTTCTGCGCGTCGAAGTTGTTTTTGCTTGCATGATACATTGTATATGCTAGAGAGGTCTTATACCCGAAGAATTGCATTGCCAGATATGGGAAATAATGTACGCGATGTAACCTTTGAACCGGCTTGACCATCACTATGATCGCAGCATGATGGACGGAGCAGATCATCCTCGAAAGTGCGGTTGTATTTGAATTATCTAGAAACCCCGGAAAGAATTTGCCGAGCTCTTTCCCTTCCATGGACTGTCGATAAAAAGAAAAGTTTCGGGTGACCGACTTCTTCACCTTCCACTAGACGAAAGTCAGGCTCGATCGCCACGCGAAGAAGTCTGTTTCAATGTGCACGTCTTTTATCGGCTCAGATTGCAATTTCAGGGTGTTTACCGATCTAAGCACTAATCCCGCGTTTCCAGAACTATACATATTTAACATAAAAAAGAAGGTTCTTCAGTGCTTACGGTTCGGTCTTGCGGTTATGGCTGTCTCATCCCGTTACCTAAGCTACAACATGAGTGTGAATTTCTGATCACAGGGTCTTCAAGACAGTATTTGAATTCACTTTGCTACCGCTCAGCAACTTTACACACCTGTGAGCTTTTAAGAAAAAAGCAACGACCGGCTTTCCCCTTGTTACCTACGCTCCCACTTCTGGAATCGCGCAAATGGACGGGTATACAGATTTTGCCTTACCGCGAAGTGTCTGGATGTCCACCCTCAAAATTTATCCGGCATTTATTCTCAGAGCATCAAAAGAAGAACGATGATTGATCAATCAGAGAACAATCCTAAATTCCATCTAGGTTTGATTTAACACTCCTCTGATCTCTCGGAATATCCTCTTGGGTAACAAAAGTGGCGTGCAGCTACTTTTTGAATGTCAAGGGACGAGGAATGCTACATTTGCGCAACAGAAAGTGTCCCGCAAAGTGTTTTTTTTTTTTTTTTTTTTTTTTTTTTTTTTTTTTTTTTTTTTTTTTTTTTTTTTTTTTTTTTTTTTTTTTTTTTTTTTTTTTTTTTTTTTTT